GTGGAACAGAAAGGGGAGAAAGGGCGAGAGGAAGAGCTGACACTTTTCATAGTATCGGAACGACTAGTCCTGCCGGGAGGCAGGAGGGAAGAAAGGAGCGCTCCTGAAATAATATTTGACCGATTCCTCGTCCGATGGTGTGCGAGAGAGGAGAAACCATCTTGTACGAACAAATGACTAACAAATATGTATACGAGTCGCTTCTTAAACTTTTGCGCCGGCGACGGTAGCAGCAGCAGCTGCTGCTGCTACCGCGGGTCGTTCCCTCCTACGCTCGGCATCCAACTCGGCAGCGTATAATAAGTTTCGTCTTACACTGGCCGGAGTCAACCGTGTATCGATTACATCCGAATCGCGGCAGCGTCCGACTCGTGACGAGGCGCAGAACGTCGATGACGATCGTTCTTTCGCCGCCGACGGTTCGTGTCCGACGGTGCCTTCCTCTTTGACGGCCAGCAGGACGCGCATAAAGAGACGGGGCTTACCGCGTGTATGCATTAACGCGCGCATGCTAATTGCTCAATTACGGGCCAAGTGCTCCTCCGACGCTCCTCCTTAAGCATTCTTCGCGCAGCGAACGTGATTCCTCGCCATATTGCATTCTGCAGCGCACGGGCCGCGACTTTTACGAGTTGCGGAGGATGACGTGTAATGGTGTGTAGTTTGTTAATTCCCAAGTTAGAGCCACGCCAATTCGGCAAAATACATAGGTTAAAATCCGGGGAAATAAGTAAGTTCGTAGGTAGGTAACTAGGTAGGCAGGTAGGTAGGTAGAATCACGCCCAGGGCACCTCGGATATGGCCCGAAGGCCCTTTACTTTCCGGAGAACTTTGTTTTCTCACCAAAATTCCGTCTAACAGCTGCAACAACAACAGAGCGCGCGCTAGCTAGCTAGCTAGCTAGTTGGATGGCTGGCTGGCTGGCTGCGCCTATCCTTTCGCTGCAACTTTACCTGCATAAACCGAGTGGAAGTTCGGGGGACATAGAGGCCGCGGCACAATAACGGACCAGATATAGAATCTGTACTCTATAGAACGCGGCGAAACGCGTCGCGCCGTTTTTTATTGTTACAAGCTTAGCGCGAGACCCTCGCGCGCAGGGAAGAAAACTTGGGAGAAGTTTACTTTCGTCGTTGCAACTTGGGGAGGATATATTATACTTATAGAGCAGTGTCGCGGAATATGTAAGAGTAAAGTATGCTCGCGCGCGTCGCGACCGTCGCGTGTCAGTCGGTCATCCGGTGTTAAGAAGGACAAACGCATCTCGTCGCTAAGTCGTAAACTCATTCTTTGAAATAATGCGAAAAAGCGTAATTGCATAATTTTGTCGAGCGAGCAGGTCTCATTATTTCACGAAAATGTGTGAAACGTCGGAGCGCGGGTAAAAGTATCGCCGATTAGCGAAGACGCGGACAGAAAACCTATCTAGGAAGGCTATCTACCTAGGCTTCTTCCCCCACCCGAATAGTGAGCCGAGTGATCAATTAAATTTCTTCGCACGTTGGCAAAGACTGAAAAGCGTCCGTTGGTAATGCCCGCGAGTAAGCCCGCAGAGTGTGCGCGCAAATAATCAAACACCGCGCTCGGCTAAATATGGCAATCCCACGGCGAAGTGAGAATACGCAATAGCGAGATTAAGACGATCCCGGGGTTAGGAGAGCCCGCAAGTGTAACCGCGTCTTATGCAATTACACGTCGATACATGGAACGATTGTTTGGAGAACTTTCGACGCGGCGCGTCGAGAGGATTTACCTTCCCGATCAAATATTTGCCGCGGCGCGGCGACGCGGCGGCGGGCCTACGCGGAGAGCGATTTTAACATTTCGAACACACACGCGCGCGCGCGCGCGCGCGCGCGAGTGAGCAAGCGAGAGAACTAGTCGCGCGCTATGATGAGGGCCTTTTTATTTGAAAAACCTTGTAACCATTGTGTACTCAAGCATGGTCTACGAGCGGCGTGCATTGGGCGGACGACGGACGGATGGCCGTCCATTGTTTCTATTGTTTGTCTATGAGCTGTTTCCACTTGGTCTCGGCGGCATACCTTAATTCAAGGTGCCGCATTTCCATACGGACGACGAGGAGATCCCCGAAGAGGTTCCCGGGCCTCTCGTCGCCCCGACCGATACTTTCGAGCGCAACTTTCTCGTCCGACCGAGAGAGCCGCGCTCGTTCACGCTGGCCGCTCCGTTTGTTCTTGCGCAACATATGCCGGGCTTGTCTATGCAGATGCATTTTTCTAATCACCATCGCGTACGCGTCGTCTCCGTGATATCCGGATGTCAGTGTAGAGGAGCGCCGGGCGCACCGATAAGCTCGCGCCGTGTGGTTACAACGACATCGTCCGTATGTTACACGGGGCATATTTTAACATGGAAATTGAGCGAAATTGCTGCTTCGCCGGTAAACCTCCGACTCCGGCCGAGATTAATAAAAGAAAGTGAGATACGAGTCGGCCCGAAGTCGGCGCGCATGTCCGAGAAGGAACGGTGAATGAAATAGATCGCGGAGAAACGATCGAAACGGGAGAGATCACTCCGAGTGCGAGGAATTGAGATTGAATAACGCATTACGGTCGTCGCGCGATTTTAATTGCAGGCCGGCAAGGGTAAAAAGTGCTCGTCACATGGCGCATTTCCACGGCCTATACGAGCCGAGATGCACTGTTAATATCACGCTTTATTAGCGCGCTAATTAGTAAAGGGGTGCAGGGTCGAGACAATCTGAACAATCGACGCAATCAACGATGCACGTGGTCTCTATTGCAATGCGCGGGGTGGAAAAGCTCGTTGAAGCTCGCACGCTCACTCGCTCGCTCGGCACCCTAAACGCCGGCTATTATCGCCGCAGGGGTGGTAGTGTGGGTCCGGTAATGATGTACGCGGGAGATATTCGGACAGCGGCGACGACGACGACGACGACGACGACGACGATGACGTCGAGTCGGTGAAAGGCGCTCGTCTCGCGTTTGGGGGTTGGTGAAGGTAGAAAAGGTTAAACGGAGAGGCGGCGGACAGGCAGAAGGCGGAAAGGATGCGAGTCGTAGGGCTGTGCAGCGGGCGAGGGCGTAACAACGAGCATCATAAATTATCGAGATGTAACAATAGGACGAGGCCATTCCGGCTCGTGTATGCGGCGACACAGAGAGTGTCTCTCCTCTTCCCTCCTCTTTGCTCTTCCCCCTCACCGCGTGCGCATCCCCGCCGCACAAGGCACCCTAAATATTTACACTAGCCGGTGGCAAAACTCAAAAGTAATAGATTCGAGATGACTTTTCATTTAGCTAAGCACAAAAGCGAGAGACCGGTACGCCCCGACAACGCTCGCGCCCACCCGCTGGTTTGCGGCTTCCCCGTCCCCACAATGTCCTTTCTTTCCCCCTTCCCCGTCCCCTGTCCGAGCCCCGACACCGGGGCTCACGGACGATTTCCATGGACCATCCGGCGACGTCGCGAAATATCGCTTTGTGAGCCACCGTTTGTCATCCCGTGGCCACGCACGACCGGTAATTGTTATATTGCGCGCTAATTTCCAGAATATCACGAATTCGCTCAGGGTGGTATGGTTTGTTGGGGGATCGGCGATCTGATGGGCGATCCCATCCCATCTGCGATCTCACGTCCGACAAATCGGTTCCCTAGACTCGCCCGCCGCGAGAGGCTTTTACGTTGTGCGACATCGCGTATGTGAGCGTAATATTATCGTGAGACGACAAAAGCAGGAGGAGTAAAAACTCGATCGATGTGACTGACGGGTTATCAAACGATCGACGGTCAAACCCAGCGTAGTGTGTGTTTAATTTTTAATATGCTTAATTTTTTATGTAGTCAGTTAAAACGGATGTACGTGCTAATATTGATCCGAACAAGTCGAGTCTTACGATAACTTTCGTGTCTCCGGAATTCCGGTCATGCCGGAAATTACGTCCAATTTAATTTCTATCAGTGATCAAGCGATATCGATCAAGTCGATCAAATGCATAAAAATCATCAAATGTCAAAAATCAAAATCAAATGTCAAATCAAATCATTGAATTATTAAATGCAAGATTACAAAGTAACGACTTCTATGTGGTGAATACTCTTCGTCGGAAATCAATGCGATTTACGTTTACGCATGCATACTATACAGTGTAATGTCGTGTATTTCGAGTGTTTAGGTTGTACGCTCACCATCAGCATGTTGATTCCAGCGACGTTCAGTCGCTCACCGTCCATCGTCCATTGTCAAGCGACCTGCAGCCATCTCTGATCCATTGATAAACTCGCCGCTGCATCCTGACTGCGTCGCTCCGCATTCGCTTATGTGTTCAGCCTCTATACGTTGCGTTACACTCGCGATATTTTTTACGAAAACTTGACGAAAAGTACGCGATAATGTTCAGTGTATCGACGAGAATATACTCGTACGAGTCGCGAATCTTGTGTAAAATGTCGAAGATCACGGCATTGCTGACGAGATCGAGAGGATCGAAAAAAGTGACGCGAAAAGTCGATCGAGAAAAGTGATCAATTATCAAGATACCGCAATAAGATTGTCACGAGACTCTATATGGATACGGAAATTCTTAAATCGCAAAGGTTTTAATTTTAGGAAAAATGAGAAATAATATGCATAGAATTGACCGCCCATTTCAATCACGAAAAATTAAAAAAATTCAATAATCACGACGGTTGTAGAATTCGTCGCGCGCGAATTTCACACGCAGTGGCGCATCTTGGATGCGCATTTTGTGCTGCTTGAATCGATTGGGGGATCACTGTTCATTCAAAACGAATGTCTTCGAAAAAGAGGAATGTGTGACAATTCGAATATCTATTGAATAATATAAGCTGCCAAAAGAACACGATTCCCCGGTCGTTTTGTGCAGTGTATTTTGATGAACGTAATGAAACAGACATGCAAAAGTCCACAGACTAAGTAAATCGCATTGGCTCCAACAAATTCTACAAACACCTACAACCTTTCATTTTTCATAATTATCTTTTTTGCAACTTACGGGAATACTAGAAGATCAGGGTCGACCGCGTTACGCCGCAGATCTGCAACAAAAGACAAGATTCCGTCGATTAGGTCAACGAGAGATGATAACGAGAAAAGTGCTCGTAGATATGAGCGTGTCGAAACTTTTCACGATCGCTGTGACTCGACGATTTTAATATCGCCTGCTGCGTTGCTCAGTTTCCGGTCACAAATAGCTTAATGTAAGAGTGCGGAAATGTCTGTAAACATACCTTCGAGCCGACCCTGCTTGGCCCGAACCGGATCCTACGGTGCGGCATCCTCGAGTCCCACGGAAACTGCACCCCCGGGGAAGTACGTCCACCGTTCGGCGGCCATGAACCTTCAGGAAGGTCTGAAACAAAAAGTAAGTTTTCTGATTAGTTACGGCGATAGACGTCAACGCTATATTTTCGTTTATTCAATCACTATTCCTCCATGTCATTATTGAACGATTAGCGATGGAGAGCAGGCAACGCCTCCCGAATTTACACGCCTTTTTTCCAAGCAGATACAAGAACGAATAATATGGAAAAATATGGATCTCACCTCGATATTGTTTAATTGCAAAAATTGTAAGAGACATGTAGATGGTTTCCTATAGCGCGGCACCACACGCGTATACGTGATATATAATCGCCGTGCGGGACTGGCAGCACGTAATTTTAATCGGAGCTTTTTATCAGTGCGGGAGACTCGATATACCGGTATTCGCGGGATTCCGAAGGCTTCCGCTTCGTACAAAAACACCTCGTGCCATTTGTTAATGTAGCAAATGGCAAAGCCGTCGAGCGTGCGGCAATTTAACGTAACGTTCGCCGGTTCGAGAGATTAAAAGCGAGTCGGGGAAATATTTACGTTCGACGGCGAGAGGCATCGCGGGAGGCTTCTCTGTGAGCCGAGTATTTACCGCGGTAAAGTGCCGTTTGATTACGTCACTTTCGTTGTTATCAAGCCTTTACACATGCTACGGAGCTAAATAAACTTGTTTATGAACTACCGGCAAACGATAACGCTCACTGTCAACTTACCGACACCACAGCAAGCATTGTCTGTCCGTGTGCATTGATCAAAGGATCCCCGCCGCAAAGGACAATGGAGCGTGCGCGATCTCTCCACGGAGTTGGACTCTTTGCAAGGGGGATCCTTTGTGGACCATTCTTACAAAGAGAAACGCTAATTATTAGCGTTTGCTAATTTCCCAAATGTCACGGGCTTTGTCGGGATGTCAAGCAGGCAGGAAGAAGGGATGGAGTGCAGAGGGACACAAACACAGAGATACGGCTATATTATATTATATCTACGCGCCTAATTACACACAGTCGAAAGTGGATCGGACGAGTAATCAAAAAGATGATACAACGAGCAAGTGATGCCGCCACATCGCAATGATCGCAACGAAGCAACGAGATTAATTTAATCTTTAAAACGAGGATGTCAAGGCTCCGTGTCCGTTTAGAGGAGATTTAAGGGTACGTTAGAGAAAAAAATTGGGGGCATGCCCCCTGAGCGGAACAGCTGCCCTTGACATTGAACATACAGCGTTATGTGCGACACATCCGGTCAATGAGAGAAGAACGCGGAAAGGCGCAGCTGTGACTTCTCGAGAGAAGTTCAACCTCTCTCTGCGGCCTCGTGTCGTCATGTCGTCATCGATATTTTTTCGCGCCTTGGACTTGAAGCACCACTTGAGGTACTACAAACCGACTCGCGCTTCCCCGACCTACCACACTCGCGACTCGAAGCCGCGTTCCTCGTGGCAACAATAACATATCAACGTAATAATAATTATCGCGAATTCCGTCGGCGGTAAATTTCACAAACACACGCGGCGGTCTCGGAAATTAATAATAACCGATGAAAATCTCGGTTAAGAAATTATTTCCCTGTAAATTGGACGCGCAATTAAACGCAATAATTACGCGAAAATCACCGCAACAACAGCTGCCGCCTCGTCTCGTTTATTCTTGCAGAGCAAAAGCCGTTAGCGGCTGCAATTGTTGGCGGATACAAATTACAATTTTACATCGGGTGAATTAATTTAATTACAATCGCGCGAACTACTTATTGAGGCGTATGCCAACCCGAGAACAAGAGAGGGAGAGAGAGAGGGAGGGAGGGAGGGAGGGAGGGAGGGAGGGAGAGAGAGAGAGAGAGAGAGAGAAAAGGAGAGAAAGGGAGAGAGCGAAAAAGAGAGAGTTCGAGCGAAATAAAGGCGACGTAATCGCGACGCGGGCGAGGAACGTTGCGACGGTGCAATCAACGGTGTGCGCCGCCGCGTCCTGGAATCTCATGATCCGTGGGAAAAAGCATTTTCCTCGGACGCTTTACGGCGCACATCCCGGGAAGTTTATCGTTCCATACTTCCACGGAATATCTACGAAGCATATACCGCGCTTTTGTACACTCGACTCGTCCCGACCCGTCGTCCGTACAGTCCTAAGACGAAGGTGAAGGAGATCCTGCTCTCTAAGGATCAAATTCCTACGGACGAAGTGTTTGTACAGGCCACCTCCACCGGTGCGGTGCCGTTGTGCTAATGGCTCTCCGTTCGTTAGATCGAAGAGAGATCGACCGCGGCCACGCGATGCCTCGCTATCGGCGTATAGAGATAAACGCACATACACGCTTCGACAATTCTCCCGAGTGACACGAAGAAAAGTCCCCTCCGCCCCCCCGTCCCCCGGTTTCGAGAATGTCGCGAGAGTTAGACAGGGGAGAAAAGAAAAAATTCAGTAAGTCGAGCCTCCATTTGAACGCAGCCGAAAGGCCAACTCGTTCGACTGTCACTGCTAAGAGTAATCGGTTCCAGATATAAGCGCGCTCACCTGCGAGGTAAAAATCTACCCGAGTGAAATTAAAGGCGCACGAGCGCGTTAGCGCGAGCAGCTGGGAAAGTGGCAGCCGTGCCTGAGTGTCTTATCGTGTGCGTGTAATGAAACGTCATTTATTTCTGGCGGCGAATATTTCCCGCCGCGCGCAGCGGCGGCTGTCGCGTAATCGTGGAGATATGAGACGTTATCCGTGCGCGATTTGTTACGGAAACTTTGTGTTATTTGCGCGAGCCGATACTCGAGGGTAAATACACGAGAGGGTGAGAGAGAGAGAGAGAGAGAGAGAGAGAGAGAGAGAGAGAGAGAGAGAGAGAGAGAGAAATGTCTATTAACCGTCTGTTCCCGGGGATCGATTCCCGAGTATCATACGACACACATACGACGCGTGCATGACTGATATCCAACGTAAGGGTAGACCCTAGTCGTCGCACAGTGTGCACAGTTACGTAACATTGTTACATGTGCGCACCGTGCCGCGAATCATCGTCGGGTATTAATGCGATACCTAATAATAACAAGATTCAGCACCGGCTGGTTAATTCCGCACGACGCGCATGTACATAGACCGCCCCGCCCGATATCCCCGTGTGTATCCTCGTGATTCCACGGATAGCTCGACGGAGCGGAGGAGGCTTTATATAGGTCGGTCGCGCTATATACGACGCATGATGGCGAACTTTGATCGTCGCGTTACAGCGTGTGGCGAACCGTCGATGGAGTCGAGGCCGGATAATCCCCTTTCGAGTAGCGAGAGAGAGAGAGAGAGAGAGAGAGAAGGGGGGGAGCGAAGGGTACTATCCGCTTCTCCCGTGGTCGGATTCTCGCCTCTCGACGTTCCTTTTCTTCCCGCATCGGGTCACGAGGGCTTCCAATCGCGCGACTCCCCGCGACGAGCTTTTTATTCCCGTTAACCGTAGCTTCGAATTAAACGAACCACCGCCACCGCCGGCGGCGCCGTCCCGGCGGGCTCTCGCGGAAATGCAATTTTCTCGCGGTGCGGAAATCGGCCGATCCTCCCTCTGCGAGTGCGCCGCGAGTGCGAGTCTCGAGTTTCTCCTTTTGTCACAAAGCATGCGACGGAATTATCGCGCGTGCTAACGTTACATAGCCGGCGCATCGAGACGACGCCGACGGCCTCGCGCAGGGTAACGCGTAACATCTCGTCTCGCGAATGACAAGAGTAGTTTCGCGGTCGAACAAGCGTATTTTACACGGCGTGACATCCGCAGGGAAGCCGCGTGTAACGTCTCGTAAATCGCCTCGGGAGCCGGCTGCGCGCAGACACGCACTGTGCACTCGTGTGTGCAACACACTTTTGTCAGTAACCGAGCTCGCCTCAGGCGCGACGACGCGGGATCGGCTCCTTCGCTCTTAGGTCGAAAGACGAGCCGCGCTCGGTACACCCGCTTTACATCGCCGCGTTACACTGTGGCTAACCGTCGATACACGGAGAAACAGATAATCCGCCGTTCGCGAACGGTTGAAACGCTCCGCGGCTGAGAGAGTCCGCGAGCGTCGAGCTTCACCTCGAGGCGGGCAGGTGTGCTCGTCTCCGACGAGCGATACGATGCGGCGTTCTTCGCCGCGCGACGTTACTCTCGCCTCGAGACACGCGGCTGAGATGTGTTCCTCCCGGTGACATTGTTGACCCTCCGCCACATGGCGCTTCGCATATGGCGCACGATCCCGTGCTTGCTTATTTTTATATACTTCGTAGATGAAATTCGGTACTAAGGGGGTTAGAGGGTAGAGAGCGAGCGCACTGGCTGCGCGTCTCTCCCGGGCGTCGACAGATTGAGACCACGGTTTGTCACTCGCGAGATACACCTGCCCGCGATTTAGCCGGACCTCGAGCGGACGCGAGCCGACATTTCGGAGCTCGTTTGGATCAATCTTTTTCTTTTTTATGTATAAAATAAGTGCACTCGGTTTCGCGAGTGCCGCATCATCGCATGTATTGACAGTTATTATTCGTGAAAATACGATTATCTCAGATTATTCAGATATAGCAGAGCTCGGCAAACTTTACAACTTTCGGCCGATTTTCGGAAGCTACGCCTTCTACCTCCCCTTACCGCGCGGCGGATCCAGCAACTGACGATCGCGACTCGCGACCTCAGGACCGTTGAAATCATAAGGCGCATCTAAGTGGTTTAAAAAAAAAACGCGTCGGCAATAGCATCTCATGGGTGACGAGGAAACCTATTATGTTACCTTCTAATTATAAAAATATAAGAAAAATATATATATATATTTATACAAGTATATATTTGTACATGTTTGTACGAAATATTGTACATATAGTTGTATCGATACATTTATTTGTCAGTCTTTGAGGTGCGTTAAAGGAGCGCGTTGTCAACGTCGACACGTTATTCTGTCTTTATCGCTCATTACATGTACAAGGATTGAATGACGCGTTAGCGCTGATCGAACGCATCTTTAGTAGGCACCACATAGATGCGCCTTATGATCTCAACGGTCCTGAGGTCGCGAGCCGCGCGGTAAGAAGAGATAGAAGGCGTTAGCTTCCGAAAATCGGCCGAAAGTTGTAAACTTTGCCGAGCTCTGAGATATAGAGTATACATTTCTATTTGTAATGTGAAGCAGAAAATTGCATATAAAAAGTGTGACTGACAACGTCGATGTTATCTCTTTGTTAATTAACGCTTCGTTAATTAACATAGCACGTGAATAAGTAGATGCGTACGATGCGTCCGATTAAATAATTTTAATGATTCTTGGCCTGGGTAAATGTTAAGGTTGCGCTAATTTATATGTTCACTAATCGACAGGATAAGTTGCGTATTGAAATTATTTAGGCACCAATTATATAGGTGCAGAGAGAGAGAGAGAGAGAGAGAGAGAGAGAGAGAGAGAAATTTTGACGAGTAATAAAAAATTTACAAAACCACTAGAATTTGCGATTATTTGTCAAATAACGACGATCAATAATTCGTTACGACGAATTATAAATGCCAGTCTCTCTGAATTTTCGAGAGACGTTTGAACATCTCCTTATTCTCAGAAAATCCCTTATAGATAGGAAATCCACTGAAATAGAACATTTCGTTTATAACAAATAATTTTATATACCTCAATATACATAATGCATCGCTGACCACATCTCGGTGTCCTTCGTCCTGGCTTTTCGGGCCGGTATCCTGGCTCCCGGCTGCTCCGCTGTAGCACTCTGGATGTTCACTCGCGTAGATACAGTACGATCGAAGAAGCACATGGTAGTTAACGCGATACCAACGCGAGCTCGACTGGATACTTCAGAGCGTAACGAAATATTTTAATCGCCCGACGTGAATTACAGCTGACGCACCGAACACACGTGCTCCACGTCGCGGTATGTGCGTCGCTTCTTCTCTCGGCGCGAGATGTAAACAGTCGCACGAGAGACGTGCGAGACGCGCGAGAGTATGAAAACAATGAGCAAAAACAGCTACGTCACCGCATCGCTAACCGTAATCCCCCACCACTGGACGGCCGAGCATGATCAAACAATCGATGCTTCCAGAGTACCGCGCGAATCGTCAGAAAGGTCATGTGCTTGCTTTCGTACGTCTTCGCACTTTCACGTGGGGTGTTCACAGTGGCGCAGAGACTCCAACACGAGACACACGTGCATCGCTGCGTTATAATTAACCGATTTGCATTCGCAAGCGGAATAATCCGCACATAATGATTGTCACTTATCACCAGCCGCGAGAAATATTCCGCGAGCCACGACGTTCACTTATCACCAACCGCGGAATAATACGTTCACTTTTACAGGCCGACTCACTGTCAGTTGAAGTTGAGTCTCCGATTTCTAAAGTTAGTTGCGTATTTAAAGATGTGATGCAAATGGATTAAGATTAAAATATATTTTGTCGGCTTTTAAAATATCGATCTCTCATTGGTATCGCGTCGTCCACTAACGCACGTTCTTCGATCTACCGCACTGTGATTGTAACTAAGAAAATTAACATCATTAACGCATTGCTCGTCGAAATTTAGAATAAGGATTGAACGCGAAAATGGAACATTGAAATGGTGAAATATTAAATAATTATGAAATAAATTCTTCTCTGAGCGTATATATTAACATGGAACAGATGGTAGTTAATAAACATTTGGAGGTATCAAGATAAGATACACAATGCTTGCATAGTGTTATTCTCGAAATTCTCTACTAATTGCTCAAGTTTAACAGAGAACTTGCAGGGTCAACATAGAACCGAAATTCCGACTCGAGTCCACTCGACGTTCCGTTCAATTTTCACGAGCTCGCTAACACGAGACGATCTCTTTAAATACTCAATGACCCTCTGGGTGGATTCAAAGACCCTCGAATGCCGGTCGTGACGTGAAACAAGCAGGTGCTGCGCGCGCATGATAATAATATATATAAATAATAAAACATGCGCGACGGTAAAATCAAATGTCCGAATTCTTCTTTAATCGCCGCGAGCGTTCCCTCCGTATGCCGTAATAACGATCGCCGCGATTGTAATTATTCTTCCTCCCGATCCTATACGGTTGAGATAGTGATGTCGTGACGTAAACCGTTCATCGCGACAAATTGCATCGCGAAAGGCTTACGGGGACAGGCGAGCCGTAAAAGCGATCGTGCGCGGAGCGTGGAGCGTAAAGTGCGGTCCCACCGTGTGGTAATAGACGTAGTTTAATCAGAAAACTGCGGGGAAACGGTACGGGCGAATACCCTCCATTGCTAGAATGCGGGGGCATTTAAGTAGATGGAGGGTATAGACCCCTGTCTACTCCATTTGCCTTCGGCCCCGGGGGGACCTCGCCGATATATATCCCAATATTCCCCGTAACAATGATGAATCACTGCTGAGCACCTCTTGCGCAAGAAGTTGCACTTCCAATGCGCTCGTAAGGTCTCTCTCTCTCTCTCTCCCCTCTCTCTGTCTTCACTCTCGGGATACCGCGCGACGTCGCCGTCTTTACCGTCCGATACGTTTCTGCACTTTGCGCGGTTATGCAAACCTGACGTAAGTCACTCGTCCGGGCGAACACGCTTCCTCATTGTAACGAATTCGCGAACCGGCGATCACGCGGACGGCAATCGCTTTTGCTCCGTAATAACGCGTCGAGAGACGACGCGAATTTATTCCGCGTTACGGCGAACGACGTCGCGCCGCGAGAACGCGAGGCGCTCCGCGAATTAGAAGTAACGAATAAAACTGCGAGAGCAGGACAGCGTTACGCGATTCTCTCCTTTGCATGGAACGTTTCTTGTATTTCTCTATCTCAAGTAAACGCTGTTTTTTGATGTCTCTCTCGCTCTTTATTTCTCATTAGTATTTCTCAGTAACTTTATTTCGATAAATTATTCTCTAACACTCATTTTTTTTTCCAACTGACCGTACACAATTATGGATGAAAGATTGATAGCGACGACTAACCAGCATCGAACATTAAATATCCGTACGGCAGGACATACGTCATAATGACGAATCTGTCTGGTGCCGGGCTTGATTAGTCTTATTAATAAATTCTCTTCCCAAGCGAGAGAGAGAGAGAGAGAGAGAGAGAGAGAGAGGAAGAGAGAGAAACATACTATGAATCATTCGATAGGCAACAAGGGAGATCCTCTATTAGACTGATTGGTTTGCATCTACACGGTTGAATCTATGCCGATACATCTTTGTACCAAACCATGCGCAAAGTGCAACTGTCTCTTTTGATAAATATGATGCACTTTATAAAGAGCGCGCGACAAGGATTTATCAACGACTAACGATTGAATTGTGCCCGAAAGCGAAGCGAAATTTTCGAACCTTCTTGTCGCTTCCCCAACGTATCTTTGTTTTTTCATCTTTTTTCTCATTTCAACATGGATTACGCTATTCTCGTCTTTAACGCTCGCTTTTTGTCATGCCAGTTTCACGTTTCCGACATTTAATCCTCTTCCTAACCTAACCTAACCCTTTCCCTCGATCGGTTTCATTAAACCAACTCTCCAAATACGGCTAATCTGTAGAACTTTTTTGTACCCTCGAAGGAGTTAACAGCAGGATACAGACGACCACAACAAGCTAGCTTACGTTAAAAACGTACTACGTCCTAGATAGGATTAGCGCGCCCTAATTTATTGACTCTGCTGTTAGCTCTAACCCCTCCCCTCGTCGCCCAGCACGACATTAAAGGTTACCCCGAGGGGCGATCCTTCGTTGGGGAAGCACAGTCGAAGAATACATGTTATTATCTTTGTAATCAAGTCTGATGAAATATCTACACGTGGTGGGTTTGGTCTGCACAATCTGGTGAATTACAAAAAAGATGCGTCTAAAAACTTTCGAGAATGACTTACGTACGGTGCGTGTGTACAATAGCCACTAGCTTTGTGAAATTTGAACTATCTAACGATGATCTGTATATCCATCGTTTCGATGAGCTTGCGCCATCTTACAGGCATCTTGAGAATTTCATAGCAATCGTTATATTCGTAACGATAAATTTATCAGTATTATGAACGATTTTCCAGTCGTTTGCATATATATTAGCGATATATTCTTGCGAAAATATATTTCCAGTCGATAAATATTTATAGCGATCTGAGACAAAATCCACCAACAGGAGGTTATTAATCTATTATCTCGCGTTGAGAAGTTCGATATCATGTTCGATCGTAGGCTGAATGCTTGTACGAAAGTTTGCATCGAAATTAACGTTTTGTGTGATTAGAAGACGTGTATTTTAGTAAATAGTAAATAGCTTGCAAAAGGACGTCTACTCCGCTACGTCATACGTAGAGATATGTAAATTATACCTTGAAATAATAGTTGATTTGTGAGAGCTTATAAAGCGGGCTGCCTGGCGCCATTTCGCGCTGCATGAAAAGACTTGTTCCATCATGATAGGCTCGAGTATCGAATAAGTAACCACCATTTAGTTCCAAAACCTCCGCTGCAAGTCGCCACTTACCTAACTGAGAAAGTAAGCTCGTAAATTTATTTACAAAAGAAAATGTTTAGGATAACGGATAAAGTAGGCGTCGTTTCTGTTATTCACATACAATGTATACATTTTAAATAAAAAGAAGAAAAAAATTAAGGTCCCAATATAACTCCACGATAAGTCAGTTGACCCCTTATTGTTCTCAAGTAGTATGACTCAATGACCGGTGGTAGGTATGTTTTTATTATATGAAAATTGCCAAAATTTAACGAGCAATAATTTTGCCAAAAATTATGACAAGGGGCTTGAAGAACGTTTTAAGTTTGAAGCTTATATTTTTTGTACATATCGCAACTATAACGTTGATATCGTTTTTCACTAAAGTGTCAAGTTAAATGAGAAATAGCGATCGTTCGATTTGTAACACCTTTCGATTGAGTTTTTATATCGAAAAATTACTTGTATCAGAAATATAAATGCATTTTGAAAAATAGCTTTAAGCTTTCATTTAATTTTTAATGAACGTCGTGTATTGTTTCCTTCATCTTCGACATATTTCCAATAACGAAGATATGTAACATAAGATAATAGGTTATGTTACTTGTGTGTTTGCCGCGTCTGTCCTGTGTGCAGAAGTTATCCCACACTTGTAATTCGTGACGGAATATCATCTAAAATATAAGAAAAACTATGTCAAGAAAGAAGCACAATATATCATATATGAAACCGGATGAACCGAAATTCCTCCGGGAATTAAAGGAACAAATTGGATATAAAGAAGGTCCCAATGTCGACACAAAGGTAAGGTAATTGTAAAGTTCTTATAAATTTAACAACAAACAACTGTTTATTGTAATATTTCGTTTAACTTTCATCTTATAATATTATGTGATTAATTAATAACATTTTCATAAGAAGATAACTTGTATATAAAATATATACATATGAATATACTTGGTTAAAACACAGAGAGAAGCTTTACCAGAAGTCTCCGACGATGAAAAAGAAGATTCAACTGATGAGAAGCCTGTTGTTGTTGTACTGAATTCTGGTGACTTGACAGCAGAAGAAGCAGATGCTTTTAGAAAGCAAAAGGAAAAAGGTATACCAACAATAAATATGTTCTAAATTTAAATATATATTCTAAAATAATGAAATAAAATAATAAAATATAAGTTTAAATAAATATTCTAAATTTATGTTAGGTAGTCAGTATCATAAAATGGAGCACTGACAAATACAAAAGTAATTGTTGAGATATTAATGTATCTTTACATGTATCTTTTTATCTTTACATCAAAGTTATAAATTAATTACAGAAGAAAGTAACGCCCCTGCTGATCTATCTAAAAAGGTTATATTTCGCAAGACTAAACCAACAGAGACAGAATCTGATGTAAACACTACAGATAAGCCAGCAAAAAAGAAAGCTAAAAGGACAAAGCAGTCGCAGAAGATTATCTTGTCCTTTAATGCTGATGATGACGAAGACAATGTGGGATAGCATTAATTAAATATTATTGTTGAAATGTATATAATATCTATAAGAAATTTATATTGTACATAATAGATTATTTGAACTTAATACACAATATTACAAAAATCACATAAAAGATGAGTGATATTTCCAGAAAATAATTCCAAAGTAGTTTGGTGTAAATAAGAAACTGTATGACTGAATGTGAAAAGGTTTTGTAAAAAAATAAATATTTTTTGTAGTACTAGCATGTGTTAAATATTTCAACACATGCCTCTCTAATTCATACTTATTAATATGAAAATTAGTAACATTTTTGAGAGAAACAGATTGTACAGAAACACATCGAATATGTATTTTTTCAAGATGGACAAAGAATGAGAAATGAGAATTATTTGATTTGATAATGATCTCTCAAAATGAAACGTGTATGTTGTACCGTGAAGAATAAAACAGCGTCATAAGTAATATAAAGTTATTTAATGAAAAACTGCATAATGAGAATTCGCATTTATCAGTTAATGCTCGATATAGGCATCTATATGTATCGTTCGCAATATGCATAAAAAGTATCGATCGCAGAGTCGCAGTTTATCTGCAGCAAAAGAGGGAAACATTCGCCCTCGAATCCTCGGGAATCGTTCTTAAATTTTGAACAATCCCCATGACAAGGTACACACACCCTCATTGTCAACGCGGCATTATGAAAAGGGCGGATGCCCGGCGATCGCATCAACCCCGTTCACGCCGTCGCGATTGCAAATTGCCCTTCTTACTTTTCGGGAAGCACCTCTCCCATTGGACGTACACGTGCAGCCGGTCACGTGATCGCGTGCAACAAACGCCACTGGGCCATCCGACGGTCCCTTTAACATCCAGCGTAACGTCATGAACGTCGCAGGTCACGTGACAGGCGACGTGCGCCATCTTGGCAGTTTTCGACGACGGTAGTAAGAGGTGCGAGAGGATCGGTGACGTCGCGGCTGAAATAAACATCGGGTGCATGCGAACGGATCCCCACGGCTATCGTGCGATACGAACAGCGGCGTGTATCGTGGGCAACGTGGTAGCCGCGTGTACCGCCGCAGGTGTTCGCCGGTGCGCCCAACTGAACGGTCAGTGCGAATTTAAATTTGAGCGCGGCAATCGGACGCGTGTGTGCGATGCGATTCGATGTGATCGTCATCGTCCGGGGGGGCTGACGTGATCCGCGCCGAGTCGGCGGCAGCTGTTCGACGGGCACATAGCGGCCGTCACGCAGAAATGGCGGGAGCTCGCTGCTCGCTGCTGCTAGCGGTCGTGGCGTACGCTGAGCGTGGCTGATGGTGACGTGTGTGTGTGTGTGTGTGTGTAGAGTGAGCGAGCGAGAGAGAGAGAGAGAGAGAGAGAAAGAGAGAGGTACGAGAGATGAAAGCTTGTCATGGGACAAATGAGAGCAGATCCCGTGCGATCAGTACGTATCAATTGGTCCTTTGATTTTTGCATGCTCTCCTCTCACGAAGCAAACGTTTGCGACACGAAGCGTCGCTGAGCGGAGCATTGTGCAATCAGGGCTGTGCGCATTCATGGGGTGCCCCGCGTTCTTCTCTTATCTCCCTCCCTCGCAGCCGTGAGATTCATCCTGCCTCGCTCTTCTGTGCGAACGAACTCGCGTATGTGTACCAACCTCCTCTCATTGCTGCAAGGCCGTAACGACACGAACACTCTTGCATCGGTAAACAATGCCAGAAATCCTAAGTGGCGGCTAGGTAGGGAGTTTTGGTCGAAAACGTCAACAGTGGCGTCTTGCTGGCGCCCAAGACCCTGTGGCCCATCCGAAATTAATCCAAGGGTAGCTAACTATGTATATTATCGCTGTCAGTCGATAAAATTATCCGGAATTTCGTGAGTTGGTTGGTCGGTTGGTTTCAACGCGGTTATGACGAATGAAAAGGATACACGTAACTTTTCTTATGAGCAAAGAAAAACGATATTTTCGCGCGTGAATTTTCTGCTACCTTTTGACGGTTGTTTCGTAGCAACCTTTCCTCCCGATTTCCTCGTCAATTATTTATCCTGTGTAGTCGAAAAGAGATTACACTACTGACGTGATGGACTACTGGCGTTAAGATAGAAATTTTACGCGCGACGTCGCCGCAAGTTCCAAGCCCGCGGAGCCACGGTAAAAGTATAACGACGATTGAATTACGCGTGTTAAACAGATATGGTGAAATCGTGAGAAATACTGTTTCTTCCGACACGTCTCTGTTTCCTCCTCCGCGTTGCTTTTCGCCCCGAAGGATCGCGAACGCCATAAACGCGTCGCGCTCCTTCGTTGTTCTTCTTCTCCTTGCAGGAGGAGAATCTCGCCGTTGAAAGGGAAGAAATCAAGACGATTGATTCCGCATTGTGCCGATTAATCGGCGCCGATGTAGGACTCGTTTTTATGACAGGGAAGCGCCGCAGTAACGTAATTAGCTCTCGCATACGTGATGTGGCAGGGAAATAATTTTTCGCACAAACAAAACGATCGCGTAAAGACACGCGTAAATTAGTTGCGAGGGTATACATTATCGAGACTCGAGAACCTGCGATAATAACGACGACGGTATTTTCGTCAAGGCAAAATCAAATTGCTCAATCTATCGTTAAAATTGAGCGAGCGGTGAAACACTTCATTTCTCACATTTCTCACGGAGAGGATACGAATTTATTTCTCTTTTTCTTTTCGCAAGAAGGTCGCGTTATTCATCAAAGAGAGATCATGATGCTGCGATTGGATGCACAATCGTCAATTTCGAGACAGCGTTTCACTGTTGCGACGAAAGGATTGTTTCGCCTACCGGGATTCAAGGCACTTACTTACTAACGGTTTTATTATTACTTTTATTACGGCATTGATTTTACGTGTAAACTTGGCAACGCTGTATTGTACCACCACAGCGCACAGTAACGATTTCAACAGTTAAAACCGTCATGCCGACAAGACGAGAACCCGAAATTGATTTCAAACAAGTGCTCGCCCTCACGCACACGCAAACGCGCATCGCTCGCTGTCGAACATCAGGCACACGAAGAGATTCACGGAGTACCCGATATTCTTTGAAAAATGTACACGAGTCGAAGTTATTCCCCCCCGATGGGATCCAAATGATCGGAAAACATAGCTTTTAAAAAACTTTTAATATATACAACTAATAGACAGTTTTAATCAATTTTCCATACAGGACGAGAGCACGAAAGCTACTTAGGAGGATTTCACAGTGCAAAATGAATTTCCTGTTGGAATTACTTTCCTGTTAGATAAAAAAAACTCTGTAAAATTTATCGAGGGAAATTCACCTCTCCTTTTACGTCAATAATCCTTTCGAAAATAATACAAATAAATTATACTGTATTCTCAAGAAATTTCACATGTACCTTACTTCATATACAACCCCTCGTTATATTATTCCATTTAAGATAAAGGTGTTACATCTTGATGTATCTGGAATTAATCGCGGAGTATATTCTCCCCGTAAATCGGGGAAGTGGTTAATACACGGACAGACGCAACAGACGTATCCAGCAACGACCCCTCCTAAAAGCAACCTCTCTCTCAGCCTCCCTCTGCCCCTCAACCTCACCGCCTCACATCCTCCTCTTTCTCCTCGTTTCGTCGTCGCATCTCCTACAACGAAAAAAAAGTAAAGAGCCGCTGTAGGATCTAACGCGCGGGGGACGCCGCTCGCACAATTCTCGTATTACGGCCCTGGGCATAACTTTTTAACGCTTCCCACCCGTCGCTCCTGCCCTCTAGTGTGTGTGCCAATCGTCAGCGATGAATGTTCACTATTTACAGGTTTTGTGAATAAACCGCGTAATCGTGCTTCGCTTGTGCGTTCGAGTGCTGTCGGACTATCGTTACTACGTGCAGCAGCAACAGCAGAAACAGAGGATCGAACGACATCGTCTCTACCGAGGACGAGGATCATGTGTGCGAGGATGTCGCGCCGTCCGACGCTCGCGTAGGAGAGCCCTGTCGTCGTAGTTGCCGTCGTCGTCGTCGCCACTGCCGCCACCACCGCCGTCGTTGTCGTCGCCGTCTTCTCCTTGTTCTTCATCTCTAAGGTACGTGTACTGTACGTCGTGACAATGTCTGTCTTCATCGTGGGGTGAAATTGTCGCGTGCCGGTTCTAGAGCAACGATCGGGGACTTTTGAGAGAGAGAGAGAGAGAGAGAGAGAGAGAGAGAGAGAGAGAGAGAGAGAGAGAGAGAGAGAGAGAGAGAGAGAGAGAGAGAGAGAGAGAGAGAGAGAGAGAGACGTACGGACAGACAGACAGGGGGGTGGAGGGAAAGAGGGTGTGTGTGGTGTGGTAAGAGAGAAAAAGAGAGGGGAGAGGGCGAAAGAGAGAGAGAGAGAGAGAGAGAGAGAGAAAGAGAAGAGAGAATAGACGGATTCAATCTTGGAAAGGGCAGAAGATGAAAAGATTAACTTCAGAATTCAGCGGGAAAAACGAAACTGCGGTGGTTCCGCTCGCATCGTGTGCGTTTTTTTCATTTATATTCCTAGCCTTTGTGCGCTGGAGATGAGACAGACCTAGTGCACGACTCGACGGCTAGAGTATATAATGTGTGTGTGTGTGTGTGTGTGTGTGAGTGCGCGCGTGCGCACGTATATATGATATGTATGTGCGAGGGATATGCAAAAAGAAACATGCGATGCAAACTGCTCTCGATGACGGTCCCCTGGTTCCTCGTCTTGGCTACATTGCTGGCAACGTTCAAAGTGTATACATCGCGAAGCTATAGCCGGGCGTGCGTATGATCAGGACCTAAGTGGCACACGGCCGCGCGTCGTGGACGGGCTTTTACACGCGTCTCTCTCTCCCTACGCTTCTGCGCTCTACGGAGTGCGCGTCGTCGCTGCCCTCGGCGTGTCTCGAGTATGCGGTGGCTCGCTTAAAAAAAAAAAAAAAGAAACGAAAAAGGAAAGTGCATCTTCTCGACGAACCGCCTTTTCTCTCTCTCTCTCTCTCTCTCTCTCTTTCTCTCCCCCTCACACACAACCGACGACGCTTCGAATTCGCGCGAGTTTCTCGCCGCGAAACGAAACGTCACGACGCTCATGCCACAGAGAGCGCTCGTTCGCCCTTCACGAAGAAGACCCGGAGAGTCCCGTAGTCGGAATCCGGTGCCCTCACCGGCGGAATATAGACGCGACGACGATCGTCGACGCGGTGAACGGCGCCGGAAGGCTACACCTTTTGTACTTTCGTGTGCAATCGGTGCGGCTTGACATCGCGCGCGCGGCGAGGAGGAGGGCGCAAGGTGTAGGAGAGTGCAAGAGAGTGCACACGACGCGAGCGGTCTGACGATATCCTCGAGAGAGGGCCTCGACCTCCGCGACCGACTCCAGTTCGAGAGCGGGTGTTGTACCGTGGTGTTCCGGTGATACCGTCCGTGAGAACGCGAGCTCGCGTGCGAGTGGAGAACGTCGTCGTCGTCGTCGTCGTCGACAGTGAGACGACGAGTGAGACTTCGCGAAACACGCGTCTGTGAGTACCGCGTTGACGCGAAAGAGACCCGATCTTGACTGTCCCTCGACCGGCCGAATCCTTCGACACGGTGAGAACGCGCATTCTACGGCGCGCGTTCGTCGAATTCACATTGGCGAGTGAAAGGAGCCTCGAGTTTTCGAAAAGTCTTCTTCCCGGCTCGTCTCCTTCCAGATTCCGCTAAACCCTGAATACGTCGCGCGCACTATAACCTCTAAGCCGCGCGCACGTCGATGTCTCCGTAAGTCTGTTCGTTTTCGATGGACTTCTGGACTGATGCAATAAATTGGAATGAAACGAACGACATATTACTCTCTTTCACACTGATTTATCGCACCAATGCGCACCGGTTGAGAAGTTCCTCGTAAACGAACAGACCTCATATCGGTCACGGCTGAAACCCTCCGATGTCCCCTTTCTTCTTCCCCGCCCTCTCGCTCCGCATCTCCTCTCGTGCGGGAGATGACAAGCGAGCGAATAGCCGCGCGCACACGTTGCTTCTCTTCGCTTTCTTGCCTTGCGACGCCGACGCCGGGCTACGTCGCCCGAGAGGCTCACGAATGACGATGCGGTGACCCGGTAGCCGCATCGTCAACTTGTGAATTCAGTGATCTGTTCCTCACCACCATTGACGGATACGTTCTCGGGAGCGTGTGCTTGACTATATACTCGACATGTCATGTTCGTCGTTAATAATCTTCATCGTCGTCCTCTCGTCGGCGTAGCACCTCATCTTCATCATGTTCAACATGTACGGCATTTCGCTGGGAAGGTCTGCGCGCGAGCGCACCCGCTGCGTATATACGTATATGCATGCATACAGACGCATATGCGCGGTGGAGTCTTCAAGTGTAGGTGTAGGAGGTTGGTAGGTTGTGCGAAGGTTGAGAGAGGAGAGGCGCGCAAGGAGAATCGAGACCGATCAACTGGCTGGCTGGCTGGCTGGCTGGCTAGCAGCTAGCTAGCTGGCTAGCTGGCAAGCAAGCAAGCAAGCTGATCTCCGTCTGATTGACTGATGCTTGTGAATATCAAAACGGTGGCTAACTGAGCGCAGGTGACTGACTGGGAGACAACGCTAAACGTTTTCTAGCGCGAGTGAAATAGACTCCGAGCTAGGATAACCCATTGGTGCGTTCGTTCATTCGTTGATACGTCTGTGCGTCTGTCCGTCCGTCTATCCTGTCTGCTGTTCGGCCATCCGTCCGTTTGTCCATCCGACCGTTCGTCCGTTTGTCTGTCTGTTCATTCGTCCGTCGGTCTGTCCATCCATCCGTCGGTCTGTCCATCCATCCGTCCGTCCGTCCGTCCATTCTTCGTTCGTCCGTCTGTCCGTCCGTCCGTCCGTTCGTTCGTCGTTCGTCAGTTCGCGTGTGCGCGCGTGTAGCACAGTGAACCGTGTACTCCGCTCATACACTGAAGAGAGAGCGAAAGCGTAGCCTCAGACGACGCCGTAGTCGTCATCGTCGTCGTACTCGTTTGACGCGGTTCGGGCACGGTCTTCGAGAACCCTCATCACGCCGAGGACCCCTGTCGGAAGTTTGTTGGTTATGGGAGCGAGAGCGGAAGCAAGTGCGGAATTCGCAGCGCCATTTTGAAAAATTCGGCCCCGCTAAAAATTCCTTCCCTCCCGTTCGTCTGTGCCCCCTCGCTGTCCTAGGATAAAGAGCGTGCAACAGAACGCTTTACCATCTCTCTCGCTTTAAAGCTGCCGATTGTTATCAGTGTTGTCGTTAATTGTTTAGATCGACCGCGCGGCGAATCGTGGTGGACCCATGGAAGGTACTTTGGAAGACTCTCCTACTAAGGACTCTTCTCGGAGTAGTCCTGACAAGCATATGAAAGGTATGCACAGCCCTTTACTTTGGTAGTCGGATCTCGGTGTTAGCTTTTTATATAAATGGTTGTTGGAATGATTTCTTCTACTCGGGACTCTTCTCGGGATTAGAGATATTTTGTCATTGTATTATTTTGTCATAATGGTTCAATGGTAATAACATTGTAGACTAATTTATCACTGGCTGTGATAATTATAGGCGACATTGTGCTTTATTTGCATAGTATCAATTATTGATTTGAAAGTTTCTTGTAGAAAAAAATAGTTGAAGAAATTACATTTTTACCTCTGTATAATTTATATATGTGCACGCTCTCCTGGATTATAGTGATCTGTCTAGAGTAAAAATATATAGTATATATTTAGAATAGCAACTGTGTAGAAAATATATTAACATCTTGTGTTGCTTCATAATATAGCATATAGAGATTGTTATATGAGCTCTTTCAACTTGACATTTAAATATGAATGCAAGTATCACCAGTCAGTTTTATATTAAAATTATACAGAAATGTTATATCTTGAAAGTGATGAGACTTTAGAGATATTCTTGATAAAGTATAATTTGGAAGTTCAATTAAAATATATTTCTCTTTCTTATATTTCTTGATTTAAATATATTTATATAATAAATAATAACTACTTTTATTAAGAGTATTCCATAATTGCTTGCAGATGTAATTATACCAAACGGGGTCAATGGGAGCTATAGTGCTGACAACGAAGAATACATGGATACTAGTGATAATACAAACAAGACTGTGTCAAAAGAGATGGTTACAGAAGAGGAAGAAGAAGGTGATGAAGAAGAAGGTGATGAAGAAGAAGGTGATGAAGAAGAAGAAGATGATGATGATGATGATGATGATGGAGATGAAGAGGATGACGAGGATGATGATCGTGAAAGCGAAGAAGGAAAGAAAAAAGGTAGTGAGACAAAAGATGCAATAGATAATAGTAGTAAAGAGGGTGAAACGGTTGAGCCCAAAAATGACTTTAATGTAATGAAATCATCCGAGGGTGTCAGTGAGACGAACAATTCTAGTGAAGTGTCTAAAACTGAAGCTGAGTGTAAAACCACTACATCTTGTGATGAGGCTATAGAGGTGGACGAACAGAGTAACAATTCTGACGTAGAGTGTCTTGACGAGAGCATTACGGAAATACAATTGGATAATGATGATGTGTTCATTTCGAAGAAATCTGCTGAGAAGCAAGACAACAATGATATGTCAAGTAATAGCGATGTGCAACAGTTAAACGACAGTAGCGAAATGGCTGACAGTAGCTTCGAGACATCGGATGTCAAGCTCTGTGAGGAAAATGGTAGCTGCGATAGTCCCGATATTGAAGAGATAACCGACAATGCAAAGAATAATGGACATAATGTATCAGTAGAACGTACCGTTAAAGATCCTACGAAACAACGGAAACCACGAAAACAAATAGATCTTAGTAATATTACGCCAAGAAGAAGTTCACGTAACATTAAACGAACGAGCTATATAGAGAAAGAAATTGAGGAGGAAGTAGAAGACGATGGATCGGACATAGAGGAAATCAAGCCGGAAGATCCGTTAGCCGGTATCGATAGTAAGGACAAGGAGAATTCAAAACTGAAGTCACCGGTCAAGAATAGCAAAACAACCATCGTCGTGAACGATACCAAGCGTTTGGTGGAAATAGCCGCCGGTAGCAAATCCGTCAAAGGCGGAAAGAAGGAGCCCACATTAGTTATAATAGACACCAACTCCATTCTTTCGGGACGCGGTGGAGTGCCTGTAAGTAACAGCAAACCTCACCACTCTGTCTCCAATTCCAGTCCCTTCTCGGTAATGCCGATGGGTATGGGGCAAACGCAAACGATGTACCCCAATATGAGGACAACTATTACGCCGGTTCCCATGACTTCGAAAACGGCACAGTTGAGCCCCAAAACCAGTAGCAGTATGACCACGGTTACGCCGGCGGCACCTCCGATTTTGCCGACGCTGACTGACGATATGTTCGTGGTCGAGGCGCCATCCTTCATAGTACCTTACGTATATGAGAAACCGCCTCTGAAGCCGCTGAAAGAATTTGTCACTAAATTGGAAAAAAGCATCGAAGAAAGAGAAAGAGAAGAAAAACAGAAAAGAAACACTGACGGAAACAAAGATAGCGAAGAGCACAGGGAAGATTTTTCAGACACCTCTAAGAAAGGAAGCGAAAAGTCTGACGAGAGCGAAAATGAGGGAAAAAGCAAGAAGGACATTGACGACCGAGCAGTTGACAATTCAATAGACTTGACCGAGCACGGATTCAGTAGTTTAGGCGATAAGAACGATCATTTACGGCAAGATGACAGAAACAAAATACCGACATACTTTGACTTGCCGCTAGGCAAATTCTTCATACAAATCGGAACGAGCCTAGTTCAGGAGTATGTGCAAACCGATCTCTTACGAACTCAAAAGCGCAAACAAGGCAAGAGCAGCACGTCGGCCGAGACTCAATTAGCTATAAACTCGCTTATCAAGAATCTAGAATTTAGCAAAGAGAACAATGAACCATTCCATTTAGAGATGAAGAAATGCGAATTCTGTAGTTTTAAAACGGAATCGACCTTAGTCATGCAACATCATCTAGAGACACCGCATATGCGTAATTACGTTTACAAGTGCAACTTCTGCCCGATCGAGGTGCGCAGTCCTCACGATATCCTCTTTCACATGGAGGCGGAGCATAATACTCGCGGTAGATTGGAACGCGGTCCAGCCTTCCATCAATGCCCGAACTGTCCGTTCGAGGACAATCAGAAGGGCAAATTGACGCGGCACATTCTCGCCTGCACCAAAAAGTTCCGGCCAGAACGAAATCTAGAGCCAGCTGCGGATTGGGAGCCACCGGCGAAGATACCTAGACTGAATCGTGCGCGACCCGTCGGCCCGACTAATCCGAATGCGCTCGCAGCAATGGCAATGAGCGGTAAAGGTCCACAACCATTGTTACCGAAGTTGCTTCCCGCGCCGATCACCGGTCGTGGTAGGGGACGGCCGCCCATGCAACCGAGATACTCCGATCTGAAAACACTACGGCCAGGTGCCACTGCAATACGGCAAGGTGAGGCGAATAATTTTTAAGAGGTGAAGAGGGGAGAATAGCATAAGAATATAATGCAAACATTTGTTTTGTTTGCATTTGTTGTAGATCTTTACGTGTATCGACATGTACTGATGTAAGTTGTATTTCAGATAATGTTGCAGGAATGATGTATCGTCCCACATCTTCTGGCTTATTGGTACCCACGTCATACCAGTTTGGTAGTAACCAAATATTCCAGGTAAACAGCATTTATCTGTTTATTTTTTACGTAGGTGTTTGTATTCTCTGTGTGCACATGCAGACACTGACAATCTAGCGTGGTGAGCGTAATGGTACACGACGTATAATTCTTACTTTAGAGAAGCCGAAAAGATGCATTGCAACACGTCGAAATTCTTCATTTAAAATTCAATTCACGCTGTAAATCATGATATTTACTATAATGCTATGAAAGTTCCTCTCCTCCTCCCCCCTAAGAAAGCGTAATACACGTTGCACACACACACATACACACACGTATACACCCCTCATCCATACGTATACAGTTAACATTATAATTTGTAAACCTGCATATCTTTACATTTTTTTATCGCAAAATCGAAATATATGCTTATACTAACATATACAAGGGCGATGATAATTGTGAAAAGTCATGCCCTTCAAACTGGAAAAAAGAACTGCAATATCACACGCATCACACATAAAAATAGAATGAACTATATATACGACTTAAGTATTCAATGTATTCATATCAAACTGTGTCTGCATATTATTAAACTACACAATATATAATATTACTGTTGGTCGCATTTTCTTCATGGATGTGTATACCGTTACTTTATTTTGTTGTGAAATGGTATCTGTGCAATAATTATCGACAAAATATAGGCAGGATGGCGCAAGCTAAATGCTGAAAATAAAGCATAGTTATAAATGTGTAAAATTGGGTGAAGGCAAAACACAAGGGTGGACGAATTAATTTTTACTTATTAAATGTTTCGTCAGTATTGATATCATGAATCTTTTACATTAGGAAATTTGTACGCTAATTTGAGTAAAAATCATTTCTTCTGGATATTGGGAATAACTGAATTAATATATTTCTCGTACTGTCTCATATCTGTTGTAACAATGAAGAAGAGGATGTAAGTCACACCGATTTTTAGACTGTATGGGTTGTCTTATTTCTAGTAACGATGTTTACGAATGTGTGTACACACACTCGAAATATCACACTTTAAATAGACCGAAAGCTACGAGAACTAGTAAAAAAGATATATGGGTGGTGGCAGGTGGTGGGTGGCTCTGGGACTGTCATGTCGGCTGTCTCGGGAGTGAGTAGCAGTAGCGGCGGCAGTTCCGGTCAACCCACACCAATTGCACTTGTACCCAACGTAATCGACTCTCTGTCTAGGTTGTCCTCATCACAGGTAAATAAATATTGGAAAATACCAGTGGGAAAGAATATTCTGATCTCATGATATTTGTGGCCGCATGCGAGACGATGTGTTTTTTCGCATTCATAGCTTGTGTGTGCGTTCATAGCTTGTGAATCTTAACATCACGCACAACAGTATCAATTCCCCCCTGCCTAATTTACTTTTGCAGGCCAGTTGTTTCTTCGTAATTATATATGCACACACAACAACTAAAAAAGAAACGTTTACACATATGTGTCCAGTTTCTAATCTTTTTTGTATACCCTTTTATTCATTTATACACAACAGTACACTGCTACACATTTACAAAACAGCAAGCGCTAAATCTTTATCATTTAGTTTATATATAATCCTCTCATTAACACTGAAAACGTGAATATTTATCTTAATTCTTAAATAAAAGAATAAAGGAATATAAATATGCGTACAAATGTACACATGGACACGTTTACACATATGTGAGAATGAAAAACAATCTAACAAACGTGTACGGTTTTTATTTGAAGATGCAATTTTCAGGTGGATACTACTAATAAAAAATATTTATTGGTATATAATTTACAAAAATAACATGATTTATTCGATATATCTGTGTATTCTGAATAACGTAGGTACTTTGTATTTTTCAGAACACATCAACCAGCCCCAAGAACCCCACAGCGAAGTTATTAAGTCAGCCGAGTATATCTATTACTCCATTACCACGTACGACATCTCAAACCTCCATTCCAGGATCAGGCACTTCTTCAAAATCTGGAGGAAAGAGTTCGTTTGTTATATGTGAAATTTGTGACGGATACATTAAGGTAAGTGTAACAATAATACATTTATCAATTTTATGTTTTCCTCGTTTAAACGTTAACTGTACCCAGAATTACGCATACATATAAAAAAAAACTTATTTAATTGTATTTAATTTGTAAAAGTAATTTGTAAATTGTATTTAATTTGTAAAAGAAACTTTCATAAATTGTAATTTATAAATATATCATTATAGTTCGATTTCATCGTGTCCGTAACTTTAAGATTCTATCAATATTAGATCGTACGTAATAATACGTGAATTTCTTCAAAGAACTTGTACTGAATTCCATCATGTTTATTTTAGGATCTAGAACAACTACGAAATCACATGCAATGGATCCATAAAGTAAAAATACATCCAAAGATGATTTACAACAGACCTCCGTTAAACTGCCAGAAATGCCAATTTCGATTTTTCACAGATCAGGTAAAGAGACAATTGATAAGGTATCAATGAGCCCACACACAAATTAATTATGCAATGTAATTGGAAAATATAAGAATGTTAGAATGTTACTGCTTTCAGTACAATGTGTACACATGTTTATCGCTTGTCCTCAAAGATTAATATTGCGCTTTTTTTTACAGGGTTTGGAAAGACACTTATTGGGATCTCATGGGCTTGTTACGTCCAGCATGCAAGATGCAGCAAATAAAGGAAAAGATGCAGGTCGTTGTCCATCCTGTGGCAGAGTAAGTTTAGAGTTTATCTTTTTAATGTTGCAGTAGTTAATAACTCTGATCTCCTGAAGAAGGAGAAAACGAACGAAGAGGCGCCCCGCACGAATGATGGGACTTTATTGAGAGTTAACACACGTTGATTTTCCAGGTATATCAATGGAAATTATTAAATCACGTTGCCCGAGATCACGGAATGACATTAAAGCCAGCACACCTGTCGTATAAATGTACAGTTTGCACTGCCACATTCGGTATGTACAAGCAGTTTGAGAATCACGTGTATTCGGCACATAGTGTCGTGGCGAAGAGAGTGATGGACAAGAAAAATGCGCCGGCATCACCGTCGTCCAGATCCAACGATTCCCTTCTGAAGCCGTTGAAGATCAACGACGAGATCACGATTATCCCGCAGCCAGCGAAACCCACAACCAGATCCGGCGCGACTCAAGGCAGAGGAAAATAGCAATGATGAGCTTGAGTGATACTTGTGTCTCGTCTGATCGAATTTCGCATAACTCTGTGGTATTCTCCATGCCGATCGTCGTAAACGTATGGCGATCAACGTGCCGTGTACATGTGTATGTATACTATTGCTTAAGACGCAAATAACGACATCTAAAGGAAAAAAGAAAGGAAAAGAAATCATTTGCAACTACTCGCGACAAGAACTAGTTGACTTCGTAATAATATTCCATCAATGATTATACCGATATATTTATTTAAGAATTTTTATTGTTGTTATCGGACCTACATAAAAATAGACTGTAAAAACATTAAAGGGTGGCCTTCAGTCTAACTCCTTGGTTAATCCTTATATAGCAGCGTACTCCCGACCTGTGTAACGCCTATGTGTGTATAACGGACTCTCGTGAAATACCAAGTGTATCTACACACTCAATGTGTGACGCATAACATGTCACGCGTACAGTGCGGATTATTCTCTCTTTCTATTTCTCTTTTCTCTCTATCTCTCTCCTTTCTCTCTTTCTCTGTCTCTCTCTCTCTCTTTCTCTATCTCTATCTCTATCTCTATCTTTTACATAGTGAATTATCTATGATGTGCAAATTCTTTTTCTAAGATAAATATATTCGGATTTATTCTATTTTGTTATATTATAAACGCTAACTGTCCGGGACAATGGATTGAAAGCTGTCATCTTACTCCGATTTGATAAGTCGAGAAATATGTCTGCGAAACAGTTTCTGAACGATTTACGAAGTGACAAATTGTACTAATTGACCAGAGTGCCCTCGACTGTCTCGCGAATCTATAGTACACAGGTACTAACAACAAATGTATACTATCTATCTACTGTGTGGATCTTCCGATCGTATACATACTTTCATTTCGCCATCATACATGTCTTGATCAACAGTTAATGAAATTACTCTCATACTCTTATTTATGACACACTTTGTTATATGAAAAACAGATTAATTTATAGTGTACAACGCAAGCAATTCTTTTTTTTAAATCGGACTTGTAAATTGTATCTATTACATTAAGTTTGACCCTTTAGTCTCTCGCGTTATATACTAAGACAGAAAATATCCAGTTTTATTTTCTGCGCTCTTAATAAGAACAACAAAAATGTACATTAACATAGGATATAATATAAAGAAATATATCAATAAAATAGGATGGCACACACTCGTGTATACATTTTTTCTGATAAACGATAAACGTGAATATAAAACGGATAAAATTGGATTTAGCACACGTGACGTACGACTACGTATTTATATATGTATATATATAATATAACGTTCACGATATTATATATATAAATATGTAAAATTATAGAGTATAGCAATAGTGTATCACAAGAAGAAATTATTCATTTTATTTTCTTCTTGTATACACTCTGAAACGATAATAGGGTTACATCAATATGTAGATAGTCATTAAAAGAAGTAACGGGTTTAATTTAGTGTTTTCAATTTGTCCTGATCATTTTTGTACGTTATTGTAGGATATATAATTTTAGGAGGAATCGTGTAATCACCACAATGAAAAATGAGATAGTGCGTTTTTGCACTATATGGCTGTATTATTTAATTCTGCTACTTGCCAAACGCTTACGGCAAGCTATGTTGGTAAAACTAAGAAACATCGCTAGATATAATTACAGAAATATAGTTTATTGTAATAATTTGTACAATATATGATTACAAGAATAAAGTATACCAACATTGAATTAAGGTTTCTATAGTATGCGTTACACACTTTGAAACCTACCGCCGTTTGGTAGCAACAGAATTCGGCCTCAGTAAAAAAGCACAATCCCAAGTAAAAAGATAAGTAAAGTATGAACGAAAAACTGCAGTGACAATCAAAAGGAGATATAAAATTTTGTAAAAAAAAAATGAGTTTTAGCAAACATGTCAAAATATATATATATTTCATAAATATACAAGTGTAATATTTTGCAGTTTTAAATTCATACACATGATCAAAAGTGTTTTTCGCATTATTCTCATATCATAATTATGACAACTGAAACTTCTATCTGAAATACTGTATTTAGAACTTTAAAAACGTCGTTTGAAATTTAATAGACCAGTTGCGTTTCGAGCACAAACCGCTGCAGATTGAATTCTGGTTTGGAAAAAATGAATAGTCGTTGATAATTATAGCTTGGCCAGAAAATATATATTTCATAAATTTAATATTCAAAGTGAAAATCAAAATAAGACTGATCAAAGTTATTGATACGGATATATCCGTCTTCTCCGCCCGTAGAGTAACTGCGTCCGTTGGGATGAAATGCGAGGGAATTGATGGGACCAAAGTGCCCCTTCAAACGTGCGAATTCTTCTTCGAATACAAGATGGAAGAATCGCGAATCAAATTTACCCTGTCGTGCAGATGTCGTGGTTACGTCCATGGCGTCTTGACCACCACCAAGAACAACCTTATAAAGAGAATCAATAGAATTTAACATTATAGAAACACAAATCAACCTAGACAATAATACGATGGATACTTCCTCAGACTTACATGATCAAAAATCGGTGATATCGTAGCCGAATTCACAGGTCTTTCGGTTTTGAATGTCTTTAACAACATTAAAGAGTCACTATCGAAAAGTTTAGCTGTGTGATCCTTAGATGCAGTTACAAACATGGTACCATCTTTGTTAAATTGCATGTCATTTATTTGTGACTTGTGACCTTTCACATTGGACAACTTTTTTCCTGTCTGTACAAGCAAGAAACATTATTACTGACTCATGCTATTGCCATAATTATTGTTGCAGTGATTTAAATTTTTGTAAATACTTGCCCTCACGTCCCAGAGAGTGATGTCCCCATCTTCATGACCTGTAATGATTGTCTCATCCAGGGCACCCCATAATATAGCTGAAATTCTAGGACCATTAACTGAAATCCTAGAAATTGCATCATCTTGTGACAATGTAGAGTCAACATTTCGTATATCCATGATAAACATTTCGCACTGATGACCCAAGGCTTTATCAGTGGAGAATACAGCAAGATTTGCTGAATAACTGAAGCCACATGTTCGTACTGAGCTATTTGTATCCAGCTGCCCAATCTCCTTGCCTGAACAATATTATGTAAAAGATATGATTACACACTACATACAAAATATCTCAATGCATTTGCGCATGATTTTATTATACATACCAGTCTGGCAGTCCCAAACTCTCAAAGAATTGTCACCACTTCCAGATAACAACCGTGTTGTATCCCAGTTCACATCAATGCACCATACAGAACCATTATGGCCATTGAAAGTTCCAAGACGCTCTCCATTTAAAGAATACCAAACATTGGGTTGCTTATCTTTACTGGCAGAGAATACCAGATCTCCTTCCCTGTTATACTTGATTTTGGTGATGGCACGTTCGTGCCCATGCAACATTAAGGGTTTCTAAAATAGATAACTTTTTTAGCACTTGGAAAAGAATTACAAATATATTGTGAAAGACACATATGTATGTGTGTGTGGATATAATGTTAGTAAAAAAAAGATGTAAAGATAGGAAAAAAGTTATCCAGTATAGATAGACAAATCCTAAATAAACAATATGCAACTTAACAAGGATAGCATTATTTGCAACTGCATCTAATTACAAAATTTTTCAATAATGATTCTTTAATGTTCCTAAAGATGTATAAAACTGAAAGACCTGTACTTTTGGCTACAATACTAATTTTTAATCATATAGTATATCATAAACAATTTTGATCATATAAGTCTGAGGTAACATCTATTGTATTATTATCTTAGTTGATTAATGTTTCTATGATGTTATATCTATTGATATTTTACTTGCAACGTATTGCAAAAAAGTACAATTAATCATACAATTTCATATTTCGACGATTGGGGTTATTGTATGTTTTATTTATTTACACTGTACACGAACTTCGTTATAAAAGGAATAATAATCTTAGTTTTGATATAAGACTGACAAGACTTACCATTCTGTCACGTTTAGCTCGATAAAATCTTCAATTAAGGGACGAATCAATATAATTCTTTTTTATATATATGACACGAGGTTTAACAAAACTCACCACCACTTAAATTGCGTCAGAAAATGGAGGTAGGTATGAAGGCAGAAATTCAATTATGGCTGCGTTCCTACATCTACGGCCAGCACTGAAATTCTATAGTATATGTGACACAAACTATGTATTTTCAGTACTAGCAGTGAATTTCGGAACGCCACCAATATATAGTTTGTATCACATATACTGGCTGCGTTCCGAAATTCACTGTCAATACTGAAATATATAATTTGTGTCACGTATATTATAGAATTTCAGCAGTACTGGCAGTGAAATCGGAACGCAGTAAAAAATAAATACATGTGGTTTGTCCTTTTTAGCTGCACTGCGAAACTAGTGCAATAAGTTAGAATGAGATTATATTTTTTCTCACTTTAGCTTTTAGCAAACATTATATATATATATATATTTCATAAACATACAAGAGTAATATTTTGCAGTTTTAAATTCATGCACATGATCAAAAGTGTTTTTCGTATTATTCTCATATCATAATTATGACAACTGAAACTTCTATCTGAAATACTGTATTTAAAACTTTAAAAACTTCGTTTGAAATTTAATAGACCAGTTGCGTCTCGAGCACAAACTGCTGCAGATTGAATTTTGGTTTGGAAAAAATGAATAGTCGTTGATAATTATAGCTTGGCCAGAAAATATATATTTCATAAATTTAATATTCAAAGTGAAAATCAAAATAAGACTGATCAAAGTTATTGATACGGATATATCCGTCTTCTCCGCCCGTAGAGTAACTGCGTCCGTTGGGATGAAATGCGAGGGAATTGATGGGACCAAAGTGCCCCTTCAAACGTGCGAATTCTTCTTCGAATACAAGGTGGAAGAATCGCGAATCAAATTTACCCTGTCGTGCAGATGTCGTGGTTACGTCCATGGCGTCTTGACCACCACCAAGAACAACCTTATAAAGAGAATCAATAGAATTTAACATTATAGAAACACAAATCAACCTAGACAATAATATGATGGATACTTCCTCAGACTTACATGATCAAAAATCGGTGATATCGTAGCCGAATTCACAGGTCTTTCGGTTTTGAATGTCTTTAACAACATTAAAGAGTCACTATCGAAAAGTTTAGCTGTGTGATCCTTAGATGCAGTTACAAACATGGTACCATCTTTGTTAAATTGCATGTCGTTTATTTGTGACTTGTGACCTTTCACATTGGACAACTTTTTTCCTGTCTGTACAAGCAAGAAACATTATTACTGACTCATGCTATTGCCATAATTATTGTTGCAGTGATTTAAATTTTTGTAAATACTTGCCCTCACGTCCCAGAGAGTGATGTCCCCATCTTCATGACCTGTAATGATTGTCTCATCCAGGGCACCCCATAATATAGCTGAAATTCTAGGACCATTAACTGAAATCCTAGAAATTGCATCATCTTGTGACAATGTAGAGTCAACATTTCGTATATCCATGATAAACATTTCGCACTGATGACCCAAGGCTTTATCAGTGGAGAATACAGCAAGATTTGCTGAATAACTGAAGCCACATGTTCGTACTGAGCTATTTGTATCCAGCTGCCCAATCTCCTTGCCTGAACAATATTATATAAAAGATATGATTACACACTACATACGAAATATCTCAATGCATTTGCGCATGATTTTATTATACATACCAGTCTGGCAGTCCCAAACTCTCAAAGAATTGTCACCACTTCCAGATAACAACCGTGTTGTATCCCAGTTCACATCAATGCACCATACAGAACCATTATGGCCATTGAAAGTTCCAAGACGCTCTCCATTTAAAGAATACCAAACATTGGGTTGCTTATCTTTACTGGCAGAGAATACCAGATCTCCTTCCCTGTTATACTTGATTTTGGTAATGGCACGTTCGTGCCCATGCAACATTAAGGGTTTCTAAAATAGATAATTTTGTTAGCACTTGGAAAAGAATTACAAATGTATTGTGAAAGACATATATGTATGTGTGGATATAATATTAGTAAAAAAAAGATGTAGAGATAGGAAAAAAGTTATCCAGTATAGATAGACAAATCCTAAATAAACAATATGCAACTTAACAAGGATAGCATTATTTGCAACTGCATCTAAGAATTACAAAATTTTTCGATAATGATTCTTTAATGTTCCTAAAGATGTATAAAACTGAAAGACCTGTACTTTTGGCCACAATACTAATTTCTAATCATATAGTATATCATATACAATTTTGATCATATAAGTCTGAGATAACATCTATTGTATTATTATTTTAGTTGATTAATGTTTCTATGATGTTATATCTATTGATATTTTACTCGTACTTGCAACGTATTGCAAAAAAGTACAATTAATCATACAATTTCATATTTCGACGATTAGGGTTATTGTATGTTTTATTTATTTACACTATACACGAACTTTGTTATAAAAGAAATAATAATCTTAGTTTTGATATAAGACTGATAAGACTTACCATTCTGTCGCGTTTAGCTCGATAAAATCTTCAATTAAGGAAATGAATATAATTCTTTTTTATATATATAACACGTTTAACAGAACTCACCACCACTTAAATGCGTCAGAAAATGGAGATAGATATGAAGGTAGAAATTCGATTATGGCTACGTTCCGACATCTACTGGCAATATATAGTTTGTGTCACATATACTGGCTGCGTTCCGAAATTCACCGTCAGTACTGAAAATATATAATTTGTGTCACGTATATTGTAGAATTTCAATACTGGCAATGAAATCGGAACGCAGTAAAAAATAAATACATGTGATTTGTTCTTTTTAGCTGCACTGCGAAACTAGTGCAATAACTTAGAATGAGACAACTATATTTTTTCTCACTTTAACTTATTGCACTGGTTCAGTAGTGCAGCTAAAAAGAACAGACCAATGGTTTGTGTCACATAAATTATAAATTTTCAGTGCTGGCAGTGAATATCGAAACGCAGCCTAAATAGCGGAATTTGGTATTTAAAGCTAATATTAATGCGTCATACGTTTGTCGGACGTTTCGATTGAATGTCAGATAGAGAATTTCTAGGGTGCTTAATTTTTTCTCTAAAAACCCTCAAAAATTCTCTATTTATCAGCCAATCAGCATTCATCAAGCTTATATGACATATACAGGCTGTGTTCCAAAATTCACTGTCAGTACTGAAAATACATAGTTTGTGTCACGTATATTATAGATTTTCAGTGTTGGCAGTAAATATTGGAACGCAGCCGTAATATGTGGTCTGTTGTTTTTAGCTGCACTGCGGAACTAGTGTTAGTTAAAATGAGATAATTATATTTTTTCTCACTTTAACTTATTGCACCAGTTCAGTAGTGCAGCTAAAAAGAACAGACCAATCGGCTGCGGTCCGATATTCACTGCCAGTACTGAAAATCTATAGCATATGTGACACAAATCATGTATTTTCAATACTGGCAATGAATATCGGAACGCAGCCATTAATTTAACACATGGAGGATGACATGTGATGTCTGTTCTAAAATTCATCAAAGCCGTAGCCACGTGAAAACTAGCGCTTTTACAAGTAGAGTTGTCAATCTTACAAGATCACACGGCCACAGTCCTGTTCCGAGTTCCGTTCGTATACACAGCTGTCACGAAAAATTGGAAAGGAAACGAATTCGAAACGGCATGACAGACATCTCCGAACAGCACGAGGTCAACCAAGATGTTTCCTTCAAATGGGAGAATTATCAAAATCACTTGCCCGATGTTGTGCAGCAGCTCCTGCAGGAGGACTGTATGGTGGACGTTACTCTATGCGCAGCTGGTCACCGTATTCACGCGCATCGAATCGTATTGTGCGCCTGCAGCACCTTGTTTCAAGTAAACATTCTGTTCTGACAGAATTTAATTTTTCGTGTACAAGGGAAAACGAATGAATATGGATGAAATTTACTAGCATTATACGACTTGCAGGAAGTTCTTAGTCAAGTGACGGAGGAACATCCGACCATCATCCTCAGTGATGTATCTCTTCAGGATATAAAGTCGATTGTCGAATTTGCATATCATGGCGAGGTCCGAGTTCCTGTGGAAAATATTAGTAGCTTACTCGACACTGCACGGTCACTGAAAATAAGTGGGCTTATCGATGTTAGTATCAAATAATAAAAGTTATTTAGCTGGGATAGAACAGAAGTTTGTAGTTAAAAATTTATAGTTCAAAATTTCTATTAATTACAAAGTTCTCACAGTAATATTATGCTTAGCAATTTTAATCAATGAGTTTATGATTGTATAATGTCTCTTCACAACAGATTGATAAACTTGAGGAAAATGATAGTACTGTAAATACAGAAGACAATAATATCGATGAACATATGATTGAAATGAAACAAAGAAGGTCTGATTCTCCAGAAAAAGATTTACAAGATAATCAGAATGAAACTAGTCTCGAAGATAGTATCTCGTCTAAGAAAAGAAAACGCCGCCGTGATATCAAGAAAGAATATAATGATATTATGTTGGCATCTGCAATTGAAGATTTAAAATTAGGACAAACATTAGTAGAAGCTGCCACTAGACACAATATACCACGTTCAACATTGTACATGCGAGCAAAAGCATTAGGTATTCATTTAAATGCATCGAGGAACGAATATCCTGCAGAATCTATGAATGCAGCAATAACTTCTGTGATGGGTTAGTGTATTTTCTTTTCTTTTATATTTCTTTTATATTAAATTAAATTATCCTAGTGATATAGGATAATTCATGGTTATTTAATAATCAAGTAAAACATATGTCTCATGCTGATCTAATTATTACAGGTGGTTCAAGTTTGCAGCATGCGTCAGATTTGTACAAAATACCCAAAACTGTGTTGTGGAGGCGTATACAAAAAGAGGGTCACCAAGTCGTGCGTTCTGAAATAAAAAGAACATATGATGTGGACATGAGGGAGGCTGCTGTGAAAGCCTTGGAAAGAGGGGAGAATCTGACAAAAGTTTCATTAGAATTTAAAGTAAATTTTATTTTTATTACACTGTTAAAGCTATCTAATACTTTGATAATTAATTTAACGACGATCTTCCCTACTTACAGATACCAAAGACTACATTATTTAGGGACAAGGCACGATTAGTAGACCAGGGCAAGTTGCCGTTATCATTTTGGAAGAAACGCAAAACTCGGAACGAAGAGTCAAAGAAATCACGATTAGAAGAAGCAGTGGCTGCTTGCAAGGGTGGTAAGATGTCACAAGCTACTGCATCTTTGACGTATCGTATTCCAAAAACGACGATATGGCGAAGGCTTCAGCAGGATGGCAAGAAAACTAAGAGATCGTCGAATGTAAAGAAGCAGCAACGATTAATGGACACATCGCAGCAGAATTCTGAAACGAGAGCACATGAAAACTCTGATTTTGCTTATTGTGAGGTAATGTATATGACACAGTATGTCTGAAAATCTTATCTTTTTATAAAGAATTTGGTTTTCTGATAAAATCACTTTTTATATCAGAAATAAAAAAGTCTACTGAGATCAGTATTACATTAACTAATGAAAGATATATTTTATGATACAGGTTTCATCGGAGATTCCCATCACTTACATAGATGAGAACAACATACCCGAAGATTCCGTAATAATCTTAACGACGGAGGAGATGGAGGAACTGAATCTGGAAGAGGGGAGACAAATCATTGTAAATCCAGTACGTAAAACGTACGAGTTGTTACATGTACGGTGATAGATTTTCATCTTTAACCCACCTGTGTTCTCCTCAGGAACCTGGACAGGAGTACATTCCATGTTCAATAAATATCGGAGAAAACACAAATTATTCACAAGCTGAGAGTTAATGTTAGACATCATTATAATAAGACTTAAAACTAATTGTTGATATGTACAGATACATATAGATAGTGATATATCTAAAAAATTTTGTATCGCGCGCATTGCTTTCTCCTAGAGCAATATGAATCAAGCTTGAAAAATGATCTGTGTCGCATTTATACGTGTAGTATGTATATTTATAGATATCAATATAAATTGCACACACGGATAATATGACTACTCGTCAAAGGTTTTCGTATGCATTCCCCAATAATCGAATCTTCAATTTTATGAGATATAAAATTTATAAAATACCCGCGCTTGTGTATTTCGAGCAGAACGAGTGTTCTTGAAATCTTCTTTCGCGGGCCTTAGTAAGTTCCTACTCGTCGACCAATCGGCGTCCTCGAGAAGGCTAGTTAGCCTTGAATCTCGAGTAGCCTTGAGCACGCAAATTCGGAGCACTGGTACCGAACAAGATGGCTGTGGGTTATTTGACAGTTTACGACATGCACATCCTTCTATCGTAGTCGCGTTTGTTGCGATTGTACGTCACGTGTGATACGCGAGCGCGAGCTGCACGAACTGCGCAGGATAAAAGCGGGAGGAAGTAACTACGCAGAGGAGTACACCCGGGAAGGTGGAATTGCGTCACGAATTCTCTGCGGCGAACGGTTTTTCCCTCGACGACGTATCGCACGGTGCGATGTATCGTGAACAGAAGTGACGTTGCGTTGTCGTGATTCTTGAAGCTCCGTCGCGAACGCGCGTGTGATTTGGACTCTTCGCGGGGCCGAGCGAGGCCATACGATCGGAAAAATTGCGTACATCTCGCGGGAGGATATGCCGGACAGCGGCGCCGTTTACCAGCCGACCACGGTCGGTTATACATACGACAGCGGGGGCGATGGCACCGGAGGCGGCAGCGGTGGCCTGAGGCACGGCTTTTGGAGGATCATGTCTAGACACAAGCTCAGCTCCCGCAAATGGCTCGAATGGGTGTTACTGTCGGTCGGATTGTGCTTCTTCGTCGGTGGTCTCGCGACGATTCTCGTCAGCTTCGTCTGCACACCATCGCGAACAAACGTGTCGGAGGTGAGCCCCCGATTTAGCGATTTGACTTGTCCATTTTGTCTCACATCTATATACATCTATATATGGTTCTAACTGTATACAGAGAGAGAGAGAGAGAGAAAGTTCACCTTGATCTTAATGGTCTGTATAATTATTGAAGTTTTTATAACCTTTTTATTGAATTTTTTATCGGTGTATAATTATCCAAGCATCTGTTATAAACAGACAAGGAATGTATATAGAACTATATCTGTTTTGTACGAGCAACAGATCAGAGCAAAGTGGAAAAAATGTTGATAATCTGTTGTTTTCTTTAAAATTGTATGGTCACCTTGAGTTTTTTTTTTAAATAGAACTGTGTGATATATATTCTTAGGAATATCCTGTAGCACACTATGCATGTATATGTCTATATATACTTTATCCAAAAACATATACAAATAATATATTGAATAACATTATTACTTCGTTGAATATAAAAATGTTAGCTTTATACTTTTTTTGATATCTGTATCCTATTGATTTACATTAGGTTATAATTACAGGCCAAGCAAGAGGATCATACAACGGTAGTTCCAGATATAACACAGCAAGTGGAAGATGCAGAAGACAGCTCTGTAGCATTGGGCGCCTCCATGATGATAGTTGGTGTGTTACTCGGCTTAGCCTGGGGATGGCTGTACTTCTTCTGCCGTAACAAATCACCAAGGAATGGCATGACCAGCAGCAGTGGCCAGGTAGGCAAACAAGCTCCAGCCGCACAATATTTTGCGTCTGATTTTTACAGAGATGTGCGGATACTTGAAATCGCGCGGATACGCGGTCCTTGAGTTGCATTGATATTTTTGAATTTCTTCACGATGTCGGTACGTTTCCGGGTAAAATTAAAATCCCGAGTACCAAACTGTAATTGTGACATTGTGCTCTTATTGTTTCGAACTGACTCCAAAAAGGAGACATATCTCAGCTGATTTCTTCGAGAACCCGCACATCTCCGCTCTAATTTTATTTCACCGGAAGCCATCCGCTCTCTGGTCTGTACGTTCGTTTCTTTATCTTATGTACGCGTTGCTATGAGGAAAGATGTTGGGCGGTTTGAATCCATCGACTGACTTGCTGGTGGGTTCCACTTCGCAGTACGGGCCAGTACTCACGGAGGTACCGAGCCAGCTGAAGATGAAGCAAGCGGGCTCGCACGACACGCCGGCCTTGCCGCTTTCCGATCAAGAGGAAGAAACGCACACGCTAATGCAGGACTCTGCGAACCCGCCGGCCGTTTCCGTCGGATCCGGCGTCATCGTTAATCAGGTCCCAGGTTGAGTACGCAAATCGTTCGGTCGTTTTCCGCACGCTCGTTCGTAACGCGTGATGGACGAGAGATCGCTTTGGTTTTTTATAAATCTTCTACACACGTTGCTCTCCTGCGAGAAGAATTTACCACGACTTTCGCCAATCTCGCGGATCCTGTCTCATTTTACCTTCGGGACCCGGGGGGTATCGTCCCTGTTTTATTTTTCGGAGTCAATCGCACGTCTGTTCTCGAGGCCATCATGGCGACAATTTTGTGATTAATCGATTTTATGCCATTCAACGAAAAATTGCTTTATTATTCTTTGCCGTGTTTTTGTACGGTTCGCCTGACTCGTGTGACTTTTATTTTAATATTAAGCATAGACTTTTACTTTAATATGCACAATCGCAATTTAAGAGATCTCATTTATATACATATATATATATATACATATACATGTATACATTTAGACGCGTTGGTACTTATCCCTGTTTTTTGCCTACGCATTCCTCCACTCCGTCCATTGCCTCATCGTTGATATGTTAAGCGAGCATTGGATCCAGATAGAAAAAACGCATTTTACAGGTTATGTATGTTAAAGCAGTTGCGTTACGATCGTGTCGATTTCTATGTGATGAGTTTTATAATGATCTTTTTTATCGGAAACACATATTGAACTTGTCGCAAGATATTCTTTAACTTGTGTTTTCATCATTGAGGAATCACATTTGCTGTTATAAATACTTTGGACGAACCTACGCGCGGTCGAGCACTTCTCGAGACCTTGCCCTAATTGAACGTGCTCTCATGATATTTATATATTCTTGCGTACGTACTTTTAAGTATCGGATCTAAATTAGTACCCGTGGTGACAGCCCGTAGTCGTCATCGACTATGTATGTATAATGTAAATTGAGGGTCGCACATTGGAGCATGTACATCAATTCAGTCAATAACTGTCACTGTATTAGTACATGAACGATTATGTATATATTAGAATAATGTGTGTATAAGGCATATAAGACGAAATAACTGCAACTCGAAAGATGAATTTTAAAACGTTTTCACGAACGTGTTCTCTCTCGATCACGCCACCACAATGCACAATTTTCATTGTTCCGGTTTCTTTTTACACTTCCGTGTAAAATCTCTGATACTATTGTACAATCGTCATTTTATATTGCACGTGATTTTTTTACATACTGATCTATGATGGATATATTTGCCCTTCAATGGGATACTTATCGTGCTGGAGCATTTTCTATGAGTACACAATTAATTTAGTCCTCGAGTCGTATGCAAATATAATGTAAATGTAGAATCTAGTAGGGTATTTAACATTAAATAACGTTGCTTTCGGAGCAAAATATATGATATTGTATAAAACACCAATTCGAGCTAATTTTTATACATTTATTGTCATTGCTGAAGCTATGTGTTCAGTTTTATGATATGTGATAACGATTTTTGAGGAACTATCGAAGGACGGCCTGAAAATTCGTCTGAATTCAATGCTGTTGTAGATTCAAGCACATGTATAACATCACCAATTTTTAACATTTGCGTGAGGTTCTTATTTTACGTTCGTTATTGAACTGTATACTAATTTGTGTAAATGTTCTGGGATATGTAAGTCAAATAAACATACGATATAATCTATGCGATTCCTCTTTTCTCAATTGTTGGAAAAATATTTGTGCAATATATGATATATATTTCCTGTACCTTTCCTTATTTATGTGTTACAAAATTATGTGTATTTTTTCTAGGTATACAAAATGCACGTAGCATTTCTATTGATATTTAAATGGCACGCTCTTAACTCCCACGAAGACTATCGATCTCTCGACTTTGAAACAACTGCTGATATTCTTGGTCGCTTTGAATAGTCTAGAATTAAGAGTGCTCCATTTCTGAACATGCCTAATCAGTTAGGATTAATCGCTTCTCGTATTAAATAGTTATTTTTAATTTTTGCGAAATATGTTTCGTATTAATGGGCTATGTTTCATGTTAATGGATACGCAAATTATCTTTTCTTATCACGCGAAATGCAACCGATCGCGATAACAAACATATATATGAAAGTTGAAGTTGCGCGAGGTTATAGAGTCAGCGTTTGACAGGTGCGAACAGGTGTACTGAGTTGAGTAATTTGTCAACGTAATTGGTTTAAATTTAAGAAACTAATAGTAAAGACTAATAACCGTTGACAGTTTACCGATCGCTGTGTTCCACCGAACGCAGCCATTTCTATTTCAGCTGTCATAGATTCAATATGGCCGTCCGCAAGATGCAATCACTGCTGGAGAGCACCGGAGAAACGCCTACAATAGAGCGAGTGCAAAATTGGTAAATGTGACCGACGGACTCTGAACTGTAAATCACGAGATTATCTCCGCCTCGAAATGGCCGGCAACGGTGAAGTTCTGGAGGGATTTATATGTCCCATATGTATGACTGACTTTAAGACGCCCAACCACTTAACGAAACATTTCGAAGAAGTCCACAACGATGACCCGGAGATTTTAAAATCGCTAAAAGGTAATGGAATATTTTCTTTTGATTTATTCCTCGCTCCTGAAAAATCATGAGATTTTACTCGCGTCGTTCGCTGTAAGAGCTTTTGAAATGTATACAGGATGAATGTCACAGTTGATTTTGTTTTTCAGATCTGTTTGGCAAAGCCAAGAAGAAGATCTTGAAGCAGGATGATATGCCAGAAGCTTTTTCAGGTGCAATGGTACAGGATAAGAGGCAGAGTCCTGAAATTAATTGGGGACCACAAGAAATCGGTATCTATGCTTCATATACTTATTTGAACAATAATACTTTGCTTCCTGATTTATTTTTTTATATACATTAAGAATTTTGTTTGTAACTGTGATATAAATACAATTGTTTCATGGAATATCCTTGCTAACTTGGAAATTTTTCCAGGTGCATTTGTATCCCATACAAGGTATTTTAAAGATATAAGAAATGCCCGACTAGAAAGATATGCATATGAAACAAATAAACTTCTTATAAGACTAGATAAATTATTAAATAATTTACCATCTGATCCTGTCGATAGGAAAGGTAAAGTTGTATAAAAATTATCACGTGTACCTCTATGATGTATTTTCTACACTTTATACACAATAGAAACAGTGATTCGAATAAAATCTACTACAACAGCTCACGAACGTACTATTGTGCCATGGATCGACGAAAAAGATGTGAAACTATGCCCCAATTGTGCGAAGAGCTTTCACTTGGCAAGGAGAAAACATCACTGCAGGCTGTGCGGGGCAGTCATGTGCCATAATTGTACATTATTCTTATCTCTAGTTAACGCACGTACGTAACTTACACAATATCATCTGAGAAAAGACATTTCTGCCTCTGAAGTCATGTCTGGCAGAATATTTCTTCTTTTTCACAGGAAAAATGACCAGTCCCGTGTCTGTGCAGGATGATTCCGCTTTGCCACTCACGTCGGAACGAGCCCTTTCAGAGAGGATAGTACGCGCGGGCGTTGGCCTCACGAAACTGGCACGTTCGCCTTCCAGCGGTAGCTTAAATAGTGTTCTATCGTTGGTCAACGATTCAGCCAGCAGTGAGCAGCACTTTCGAGTTTGCATGCACTGCATGAATCTGCTGGATGCGCGGGAGATGCAGAAAGCGAAGCAGTTCGACAAACCGATCGTTTGTCAGTTCTATGAGAAGATGCGGGCATACATGGAGGAGGCCACGAAACACTTAGCGATGTACAATAAAATGTGGGAGTCGTTGAAGTACGTGAGTCTCCGCTGTACCTAAGAGAACATCGATCTGGTTCCAATTGCACGATGATATTGAGCGCACGTGAAAACTTCCAGAGAGGGGGAGACCATGTATGATCTGGAGGACGCTCAAACATTGCGACTGAAATTGGCGAAGCTGGGCGAGAACATAGACGCGACAAGTAAGAGGATTCTGATGCTTGGCGCGCCAAAAGACACAGAAGAGGCTGCTCCGCAGGGGCAAGAACAGAGGCTGTATCAGATGGTCAGAACGTCAGCGGTGATATTTTTGAAAGAAGAGTTGTTGACTCTGCAACCTTTACCCACCCCGGAGGAATATGCAGCTCTACAAGAGGAACGTCAGAAGAGGATAGAAGCTCGAATAGCGTACGAGCGACAGTTGGAAGAAGAACAGCGAGAGAAATCAAAGGAGCAACGCAAAAGAGAGACGTGGAACTTGGACAGCGGACCTTCTATGAAAATTACTCAGGTACGCGCTAGCTAAAGTGAATCATAATGTAAAGTTCGAATCTTACATTAGGCTAATATCGCAGAACCTAAAATCTAGTCTGATCATTATTTTGTCGTGAATTTCATTATGATACTATCTCTAAATTTTCAGGCACAGCCAGTGGTAACACAGTCTGAAGGCTGGGGCCCGTCCAGTGTTGCACCCATCATGTCTTCTTCTATGGATCCATTGATTGAACAAATGAGCAATCTTCATGCGTACATCAAGCAAGCCCGGGCAGATTGCAAGTACGACGAAGTCGCAACTTTAGAAAACAATCTACGAGAGCTTCAAAGTGCCTACTTTGCTATGAAACAGAGCACCAGTAGCGACAGCTAAGCACATACAGGCAGCACGCTTCTTACATATCACCTTATTGAGTGACATGTTCTTTAGCATAATAAAATATATTTCCTATTAATTTGCAAAGTAATACATCTTGTATGAGAATTTCAATGGATTACATAATACATAATACATGAATACAGATGAGCAGATAGCGAAAATCTATGTATATAGGTGAAATTATAATGTATGCATAAAGTCACGTGCCACTTATCTCGTGTACTTTGTACAGTAAATTTTTGTATTGCTCCGTTATTTGCGATAATAAAATATTTTACGTTTTAAGGCAAGCTAATTAAACCTCGAAAAATGTTGGTTATATACAAGGGGTGGACAAAGTAATGCGAACACCTGAATAATATACAATATTTGTTAATTAATAATGTGTAAGGCCACCGTTTGCTTTTAAGACAGCTGTAATTCGTCGCGGAATAGATTCGTAGAGTGTACGGATAGTATCCAACGAAATGTTGTCCCATTCTTCCACCAACATCTCCGCCAATTGCCTCAATGATGATGGAGGTGGAAATCTGCTCTTCACTTTCTGCTCCAAAACTCCCCATAACGACTCAATGATGTTGAGATATGGCGATTGTACTGATCAGGGCAGATGCTTGATAATATTCCGATGTTCCTCGAACCAAGACTGAATTTTTTTGGCCGTGTGTATGGGCGCATTATCGTCTTGGAATATGGCAGTGTTTGGCAATAATATACTGGTCATAGTAAGAACTTCATCATTGAGGATGTTTAGATATTCATTCGCAATAATACGGCCATTGAGGGTAATAATCGGACCAGCGGAATATCATGATATAGCCGCCCAAATCATCACGGAGCCGCCCCTGTGGTTGACTGCGGGTAGTAAGCAGTCCGGATCGTAGGCTTCTTTGGGGGTTCTCCATACATAAACCCGGCCGTTTGTAGGGATAAAAGTAAACGATGATTCATCAGACCATACTACATTCTTCCAATTATCAATCCAAGTCCAAGTTTTATGATTGTGGCACCACTACTTTCGCAGCTTTGCGTTGATATCCATTATAAGAAGTTTTGAAATTGCAGCCCTGCCATAAATGTTACTTTTGTGAAGCTCCCGCCGCACTGTTTTTGTCGAAACAGGATTGTTCAGGTGACTATTCAGTTCTGCTGTCACCTTTGCTGCAGTAGTTTTATGTTGCTTGGCCACAATTCTTTTTAATATTCGGCGGTCCCTGTCTGTTAACATTGTTTTGCGCCCACTCCTTCTCTTCGCAGATATTGTTTTGTCATGTTTTGTGTAGGCTGTCATCACAGTGGATACTATCACTCGTGAAACGTTAAACAGTTCAGCTGTTTTCGTCACAGATGCTCCTGCTAACCGAGCACCCACGATTTGTCCTCTTTCGAAGTCTGACAGGTCGCCCATTTCACCGTCTGATTGTTAACACCATCGCAGAATAAAATAAGCGAATAGTATACTGAAATATAAACTAGAACGGTTACTACGTAAAGTGCGCCATATATACGCGCCGCACCGTTCATACCTTGGCAGGGGGCTCAACATAAACAAATATATAATATTTAGCATGGTATTCACATTATTTTGTCCATCCCCTGTACTTTTGTCTCTGTTAAAATTGTAAAAATGTGTTTTGTGCTACCGATAAACCGATAAAACCGCTATTTTAGGCCCAGTTCCACAAAATCAAGTTTAAACCGTGATTACCTGAACTGACGTTACATTTAACGGCGTGGTTAAACTTATATCGCGCTCCACATCGTGTTTTTAATTGTAGTTTACTTAAACCTTAAATAGAGCACTTAAATAGAGTGCGTTCGGGGAGCGCGCTACCAATGCTACTGCATTGTTCCATCTTTATCGCTCTTTAAAAATATAATAAGGACAGATTGGGACAGATTGACGCGGTAGTGCTAAATAGTGCTAATCCTGAGCTCCCCGAACGCATCCATAGTCTGTATGAAGAAACTGTCAAAGATTTCTCTTTCTTTTCAAACGTAGAGTATGATTGGTTGTTGCTAAAAGTGAAAAGAGGGAAAATTGAAATAAGCTGGATGCTAAGACACCTAGTAGAGAACAATATATCTGTTTCGTATCAAGTAAACACTAACCAATATTAACATTTGCTCTATTTGTATACAAGTATTAATTTATTAAAAGGTGGAAGTCCAGTGTTAATAATAATCAATTAGTTCATATTATTGATTTGATTAAATTTATCATATAATATTTGACTTTTATATATAGTTACTACTCTGTTTTCGAATATAATCTGTCGAAGCAAAAAACCCAATATTTTAAATTAAATTTATATACTTACTGTTCTGTTTTATGAGAAATTTCATGCTCGATTTCTGCTAGAACTGCAATAAGACAGATTCTTTTGGTAATCTAAATCAGAGCTCGGCAAAGTTTACAACTTCCGACCGATTTTCGGAAGCTATCTCCCCTTACCGCGCGGCGGATCCAACAACTGACGGTCGCGACTCGCGACTTCAGGACCGTTGAGATCATAAGGCGCATCTATGTGGTGCCTACTAAAGATGCGTTCGGGGAGAGCGTCGATCAGCGTTAACGCGTCATTCAATCCTTGTACATGCAATGTACAAGGATTGAATGCGATAAAGACAGAATAACGTGTTAGCGCTGACAGCGCGCTCCTTTAACGCATCTCAAAGGCTGAAAAATAAATGTATCGGTACAACTATATGTATAATATTTCGTACAAACTTGTACAAATATATACTTGTATAAATATATATACAGGGTGCACGATTTATCTGAAGACATTGAAATATCTCGAGAACTATGCATTGGATAAAAAAATGTGGTTAATGAAAGTTGTTAGTCTCGAAGGGGGACATCCAATGATACCAAACTCGACTTCCCACCCCACCCCCTGGGGGTGGGGGTTGGGAGCAACTTTGAAACCTTAAATAGAAACCCCCATTTTTTATTGCAGATACGGATTCTACGCCACAAAATACGTAAATTTTGTCCGAAACTTTTTTTTTGATTCGTGATAGATGGCGCTGTAATCGCAAAAAATTATATTTTCCGCAATTCTCCAGAAATGATCATTGAATTGAGAAATAAAAAATACCTGTTCAATATTTTTAAAGAACATAATAAAAGTTATTCCCCCCCATCCTCTCGGGGTAGGGTGGGTGATAACGTCTCAAATGGGGACCCACATTTTTCATTGCAGAATTAGGTTTTACGTGAAATTTTTATTGAAACAATTTTTTTCATTCGTGATAGATAGCATTGCACTGCCTTTTATAATAAACCGTAGTTCGCCATACACCCACAATGGCGCGTCGAGCAGTTCCCTCTTCGATTCGGGTTCCCATTTGAGATTTGAATATTACCACCCATCCTACCCCGAGAGGATGGGGGGGAATAACTTTTATTATGTTCTTTAAAAATATTGAACAGGTATTTTTTATTTCTCAATTCAATGATCATTTCTGGAGAATTGCGGAAAATATAATTTTTTGCGATTACAGTCCATCTATCACGAATCAAAAAAAAAGTTTCAGACAAAATTTACGTATTTTGTGGCGTAGAATCCGTATCTGCAATAAAAAATGGGGGTTTCCATTTAAGATTTCAAAGTTGCCCCCAACCCCCATCCCCAGGGGGTGGGGTGGGAGGTCGAGTTTGGTATCATTGGATGTCCCCCTTCGAGACTAACAACTTTCATTAACCACTTTTTTTTATCCAATGCATAGTTCTCGAGATATTTCAATGTCTTCAGATAAATCGTGCACCCTGTATATATTTTTCTTACATTTTTATAATTAGAAGGTAACATAATAATAGGTTTCCTCGTCACCCATGAGGTACTATTGCCGACATGTTTTTTTTTAACCACATAGATGCGCCTTATGATCTCAACGGCCCTGAAGTCGCGAGCCGCGACCGTCAGTTGCTGGATCCGCCGTGCGGTAAGGGGAGATAGAAGGCGTAGCTTCCGAAAATCGGCCGAAAGTTGTAAACTTTGCCGAGCTCTGATTTAAATCGTGCATGAAAATCGATCCTGTCTGCACAGCATGGCAAGAATATGGTAAGTACGTCACTATGACGTCATTACGTTATAGCGACGTGCTTGCCACGTACGGTGCAGTCAGGGGACATTATTAAATTCTTCCAAATATGATGGTCGTCTTATTCTTATATTTCTTGTCCGTCGATAAATTAAGTTTTCAAAATCTTCATCTTCAGATGAAGATAATATGTATTCTAAAGCCATATCTCTTTGGCGTTCAAACGTTCAGAATATTTGTCAACTGAACTCCAAAAGCGGGATAGTCATAAATTTGTTTCTCAAATTAATGGTGCTGCAGTGTTAAACTTCGTTTAAATTCGTTAAACGCCCAAAGTTTTGGGTTTAACTTTAACTGTGAGAAATCAACGTTAACCATGGTTTAAAGCAGTTGTGGAACGCAATTTTTCGTCTAAACTAGGGTTAACGAGTTAAACTTCGTTTACAGTAAGTTGTGGAACCGGGCCTTATAGATTTAACATGGACACGCATCAAATAGCGATTTTATCGCTAGTGTCAGAAATAGGTGCAGTGAAATAGTCCCAACTGAGAAATGGATGCAGATGGCGCTTCAATCATGCAAAATAGTATAGGGACTCTGGCAAAAATGAATCGTTTTCAGTGTTCAGTTTTCGCTTTTTAGTCTTTTTTAGAGGGTTTAAACTCGCCGTATTGGGAAGTTTTTGCAATACCGTTTCTCAGATACGATAAACATAAATAATGAATGCTATTAGTCGCATACACTGCGACATTATTTTTGAGCGAATAATGTTCATGATTTACGTTTACCGTATCTGAAAGGTAATGGCTGCATTCAGCAGAACAAAGTGATCGGCGCTTAGTGATTATTGTCTGTGATTGGAGCATTCTTTTAGATTCTTCATAGACCCAGAAGTATTTACCAATCAGGAGCAAGAATTACTAAGCACACACTGATGTTCTTCTAGACTGCGTTCCGTTTCATGCATTATGCGCGCATTTTCTACAGTATATGTAACATGAACTATATATAAATGCGCGCATATGCGTGAAACGGAACGCGGCCCTAAACGCAGCCATTGCAAAAACTCCCTATTTTTTGGCTCCGACAGTTCAGTTCTGTCGGTCCAAACAGCTTCAAACGGCAGCACAGTCGATTCCCCTCTTTTCCTCTCTTTTACACTTGTCCTTAATTAAGCCAACGGCACACAGTGCTTGTTTTCGTGCTGCATTGCTTACTGGATGAAAATACTGCGTTCTGATTGGTGCATTTTCATCCATCTTCGGAAAAGTACCAATCAGAACGCAGTATTTTCATCCAGCAAGCAATCCAGCACGAAAACAAGCACCGTGTGCCACTGGCTTTAATTGTGACTCGCTGGCCGTCTTCCCTCCCTTCTGTCTGACCACGCGGAAAGTATTGTTGAGGAACAGACACGGATCTTTTATAATCGGCTCGTAAAACACGAACATGGCTGAGGTAGGTCTCTAAATTCGATGTTAAATCCAAAGAATTTTCACACATCCATCATATGAAACATAATTTTATGAGTCACGTGTTTTAATTATGTTTCGAATTATATTAGAAAAACTGTATAAACGCAGAACGATTTGTTTTATCGTATATCTCGAGGATAATGTATACATAACCTTTTCTTTACTTTCGACAGGCAGATGAGACCCAGAAGAAGAAGAGGACTTTCCGGAAGTTTACCTTCCGAGGAGTTGATCTGGATCAACTTCTGGACATGCCTAAGTAAGCGTCACATTGCAAATAATTCTATAACTATAATACAATGGTCTAATGCTTAACTTCATAAAATGCATGACAAATATTCATGAATTTTCTTTCTTAACAGCAGTTTAGATCAATCAATTTTTAAAATAGTAGTAAATTTTATATTGTGAAATTCCTAGGAATAATTAAACAGTAAATACGAACATAACTTTGATAAACAATATCAAAGATATCAAAGATAATTTTTCTTCTAGCGAACAATTGATGGATTTAATGCACGCAAGAGCACGTAGGCGCTTCTCTCATGGATTGAAGAGAAAACCAATGGCTCTTGTTAAGAAATTACGCAAAGCCAAAAAGGAAACACCACCAAACGAAAAGCCAGAGATTGTGAAGACTCATTTGCGTAATATGATCATTGTTCCAGAAATGGTCGGTTCCATTGTTGGTGTATACAATGGAAAAACTTTCAATCAAGTGGAAATTAAACCTGAGATGATTGGACATTATCTTGGGGAATTTTCTGTGACGTATAAACCTGTTAAACATGGTAGACCTGGTATTGGTGCTACCCATTCTTCAAGGTTTATACCTCTTAAGTAAAATGTATTTTATATCAATAAACGTATAAAAAAATATAACAAATGAGTTTATTTTGACGTTATTTCTCATAAGTAACATTGGCAACATGGCAGCAAGCATTCAATAATGGTAATAAAATGATTCAATATAAAAAACATCTTTGCAATTTTAGCAGAAATGAAAATGTATAACTGATATTTTTCGAGGTTTAATCAGCTTGCATTAGAGCGTTAGAAAAAAGATATTTTATTACCACAAATAATGCAGCAATATAAAAATTTATACAAAGTACACGAGATAAATGTAAGTATAAGAGATAAGATATGTGACTTTAGATATATACATTATAATCTTCCCTATATTCTCATATATTCTCATTCTTCTCTAGATTCTCACTATTTATGTGTATTCATGTGTTGTATATTCAGTAATCTATTGATATTCTCATGTAAGATTTATTAAATACTTTGCAAATTAATAAGAAATATATCTTATTATACTAAAGAGTATATCACTCGATAAGCTGACATGTAAAAAATATACTACCCATAGTACTTATCTATTATTATCATACTTTATTATGAAATAAAGTATGATAACAATAGCAGTATTAATAACCAAGTACACAAATAGTATATTTTCTATATATAGATGTCAGATTACTTATATAGTTCACATAATATGCGCGCAAGCGCACACACACACACACACACGTATACATATAACATGAAATATATAATCAAGCTGATTGAAAACTAAACTCTGAAAAAGACTCGGTTTTGCTTTTTAAAACGCTATTCATTTGGGACTCCCAACTAAATAACGGGTGGCGTTTTAAAGAAACTTACAAAACCGAGTCGTTTTCAATGTTCAGTTTTCGGTCTTTTTTTTTGGGCACATTTTGAAGCTCTCGAAGATTATTTTCTAAAGAGTCGCGATTTCGTCATATCAGAGAGGAAGCTAAAGCCAGCGGCACACGATGCTTGTTTTCGTGCTGGATTGCTTGCTGGAAATACTGCGTTCTGATTGGTGCATTTCCATCCATCTTCGGAAATGTACCAATCAGAACGCAGTATTTTCATCCAGCAAGCAATCCAGCACGAAACAAGCACCGTATGCCGCTGGCTTAAGAGCAACCAACACGGCGTTTTCGATGATACCGATTTCCGCACTCGGAAAGGGCGCCATCTGCATCCATTTTGAGAGGGGAACTACGATGCTACATCCACTTTCAGGTTTCGGCGGTAAAACCTATATGTGGCGGCAGATCGTGCTACATTCATTTTTAGGCGGTTTATATCCGTGCTACAACCATAATAGTGTACTTGACAAGCACGATCTCGCACATTGTCACACGTTTATAACATGAATTAACATGTTAACATGTGCAAAAAAAAGAATTGACATTGTGTATTGATTAATATCATGAAGATCATACGAAGTGTCCGGTAATTAGCTGCCAACCCGAAGTGTGAGGGTAGATTGGGACAAACATAAAAGTCCCATACCATTTTGCGAGATTCGCGATGATTATCGAGTTATTAATGACAGAAATCTGAGGAGTAAAAGCGCGCCGACATAGATGATTCGAAAAGCGTTGCAGCTGCTCGGGGCAGCGATCATGAATCTTTCCCTAGCGTGAACTAATAAAAAGTGAAAGACTTCTGTGAATCAGTGAAAAATGAAAAATTTTATATGAATTTGTGAAAATCGAAACGTTTCACACGACAATTGACTCGTTCAACATGGCAGTTGCGCGTTCTGGATAATTCAATGAATACCAAAGAAATCAAAATGATCAAAATAATAATGTCCGTGTAGTCCGAAGGATATTACACGGACACGCAAAATCCGTTTGATATAATATCCAAAGAAAATGTTTCAAAATATGTATGTACAGGTAATATAAACCTTATGCACCGACGAGATATACTACAAAGACTGAAGGCCTTACGGGATTTAGCGTACCAGAGAAATTTCCCTGGTGAGGCACCCGAGCGAAAGAGACCGTCTCGCATTTAGCGCAGTAAGATTTAATGGAAACTAATACTTTTCAATCCTTTTCCTCGAATCAAAAAGATTCAGAATTCAGACATATTCAAAATGTCAATACTTTTTAATACGTTTCAATACATTTTATACAGGGAAGCAGGACGAAGGAAATGATGGGATGCAGGCAACGATACATCATGCGTCTTCAGATGTATCAAATCGTTTATTATAGAGGAGAGTTTGATACGGCAACATGTATTCGAATATTTAATCGTCCCATGGACCACTTATATATAATAAAAAAGAAAAAAATTAACGCGAATAAATGAACGATTCGTATCAATTTTTCCTTTTCTTATAGAGCAATGAAAGAGTAAATCAGTATCGAAAATCGAATAGCGATTAATACCATAAATCAGTGTCAGAAAATTGTCCAATAACAATTTGTTCTCATTTTTCAGGTAATTACCGCTGTAATTTACACAACAAATTAACTCTATTAAACAAACGATCCGTATCAATTTTTCTTCTCTTATAAAGAAATGAGAGAATAAATCAGTACCGAAAACCGAATACCGATCAATACCTAATTTTTTCATCAAATTAACGAGGATTAATGAACGATTCGTATTAATTTTCTGTTTTCTTATAGAGAAATGAAAGAGTAAATCAGTACCGAAAACCGTAACCGAATATCGATTAATACCATAAATCAGTGTCAGAAAATTGTCCAAATGCAATGACAATTTGTTCTCATTTTTCAGGTACTTACCCCTCTAATTTACTGAACAAACTAACTCGGTTAAACAAACGATGCGTATCAATTTTTCTTTTCTTATAAAGAAATGACAGAATAAATCACTAACGAAAACCGAAGACCGATCAATACTTAATTTTTTCACCAAATTAACGCGGATAAATGAACGATTCGTATTAATTTTCTGTCTTCTTATAGAAAAATGAAAGAGAAAATCAATACTGAGAATCGAATATCGATTATTATCATAAATCAGTGTCAATAAATTGTCCAGGTGCAATGACAATTTGTCCTCATTTTTCAGGTACTTACCCCTCTAATCTTATTCAACAAATTAACTCGGATGAACGAACGATTCGTATCAATTTTTTGTCTTATAAAATTTTTTGTCTTATGAAACAATGAGAAAATAAATCAGTTCCGAAAATCGAAGGCCGTTCAATATCTATTTTTTCAGCAAATTAACGCAAATAAATGAATAATTTGTATTAATCTTTCTTTCTTTTATAGAATAAATCAAAGATTAAATCATTATCGAAAACCGGATATTGATTAATACTATAAATCAGCGTTAGAAAATTGTCTAAGTGCAATGACAAGTTGTTTTCATCTTGCAGGTACTTACCCCACTAGTTTACTCAACAAATTAAGTCGGATAAAAGAACGATTCGTATCAATTTTTATTTTCTTATAAAGAAATTAGAGAATCAGTCAGTACCGAAAATTGAAGATCGATCAATATTTAATTTATTCATCAAATTAACGTGGATTAATGAACGACTCGTATGAATTTTTTTTCTTATAGAGAAATGAAAGAGTAAATCAGTACCGAAAACCGAATTTCGATCAATACCGTAAATCAGTGTCAGAAAATTGTCCAAGTACAATGACAATTTGTTCTCATTTTTCAGGTATTTATCCCTCTAATTTACTCGACAAATTAACTCGAATAAACGAATGATTCGTATCAATTTTTATTCTCTTATAAAGAAATTAGAGAATCAGTCAGTAGCGAAAATTGAAGACTAATCAATATTTAATTTATTCATCAAATTAACGCGGATAAATGAACGATTCGTATTAATTTTCTGTTTTCTTATAGAGAATTGAAAGATTAAATCCGTACCGAAAATAGAATATCGAATAATACCGTAAATCAGTGTCAGAAATTTGTCCAAGTGCAATGACAATTTGTTCTTATTTTTCAGGTACTTACCCCTGTAATCTTATTCAACAAATTAACTCGGATAAACGAACGATTCGTATCAATTTTTTTGTCTTATAAAAAAATGAGAAAATAAATCAGTACCGAAAACCGAAGACTGATCAATACCATAAATCAGTGTCAAGAAAATTGTCCAAGTGCAATGACGAGTTGTTTTCATCTTGCAGGTACTTATCCCACTAATTTACTCAACAAATTAAGTCGGATAAAAGAACGATTCGTATCAATTTTTATTCTCTTATAAAGATATTAGAGAATCAGTCAGTAACGAAAATTGAAGACCGGTCAATATTTAATTTATTCATCAAATTAACGCGGATAAATGAACGATACGTATTAATTTTCTGTTTTCTTATAGAGAATTGAAAGATTAAATCCGTACCGAAAATAGAATATCGAATAATACCGTAAATCAGTGTCAGAAATTTGTCCAAGTGCAATGACAATTTGTTCTTATTTTTCAGGTACTTACCCCTCTAATCTTATTCAACAAATTAACTCGGATAAACGAACGATTCGTATCAATTTTTTTGTCTTATAAAAAAATGAGAAAATAATTCAGTACCGAAAACCGAAGACTGATCAATACTATAAATCAGTGTCAAGAAAATTGTCCAAGTGCAATGACGAGTTGTTTTCATCTTGCAGGTACTTATCCCACTAATTTACTCAACAAATTAAGTCGGATAAAAGAACGATTCGTATCAATTTTTATTCTCTTATAAAGATATTAGAGAATCAGTCAGTAACGAAAATTGAAGACCGGTCAATATTTAATTTATTCATCAAATTAATGTGGATAAATGAACGAGTCGTATCAATCTTTTTCTTGTAAAGAAATGAAAGAGTAAATCAGTATCGAAAATCGAATATCGATCAATATCGTAAATCAGTGTCAGAAAATTGTCCAAATGCAATGACAATTTGTTCTCATTTTTCAGGTATTTATCCCTCTAATTTACTCAACAAATTAACTCGAATAAACGAATGATTCGTACCAATTTTTCTCTTCTTATAAAGAAATGACAGAATAAATCAGTACCGAAAACCGAAGACCGATCGATACTTAATTTTTTCATCAA